CCCCCCTAGGAGCTCCGAAAGGAGCGCCCTGCTCTAGTGTTAGAAATTAGTCTGACCACGTGGACTCGTGTATAGGATAGGCCTACACTGGAAAAAGTTTGTCGAGGAGAACTTCAGTGATAGTTCAAACGGATGCTGTTTAGAGTAGATTGGGGGCTACTGCTAATCTGTGTGGCCAAAATTAAATTAGTGCTCCAAATAAACAAGATCACAGTCACTAAGTTTACCTCAGAAATATTTGTTGGCCTGACTGTGACTTTTCGCACACGCGTCTCTCAAGCGTTCGCTTATTAAAGAACTATGGTGATTAATATTTTTCTACGACGCGCCATCCTTTTAAACACCCTTGTGACTTATGTTCCAAACTTAAAATAGATAATTAATACGGGTTTTGACTCTTCAAGAGAAACTTTTTCTTTACTTTTACTATTTTCTTCTAAGACCTTCCTCAATATAAGTATTTTAGACATGCCTGTACATAATTCTCGGATAAGAAATTAATTTTTACCGGATTGTCTCTCCAAGAGGAGCATTTTTTGAATTTTCCCATTTGTATGATGCCCCGTTTATTTTTTAACTCAGAGCCCAGTTTTCGAAATAAACAAAACTGGCTTTCCTTAGATTGTTCCCCAAAAGAATACTTTCGTATTTAACCTTGTTTCTGCAACGCACCGTTGCCTAAGTTGCCTAGACACCTCTGCACGTAATTTCCGAGACAGAATTTAAAACGGATTAATACATCTTTATAACAATAATTTTAAACTTAACCTGCGTCCGTTTTAGACATCCTTGCAAGCCTGTTTAGTCCTGCCCATGATATATAATCTCATTAGTTAAGAAAGAGGGATATAATCTGTCATACAGATGTGAATCCATCTTAGTATGAGAATTATACATATCACCAATCTGTGCTTACATAAATTTTGGTGGTAGAATTTACGTGGACAGTTTATGTTAGGCAAGGTACTGTGATAGGAATATCTTTCTTAAGAAGTTCGTTGTTTCATAACCACAATAAAGCTGGACTCATAAATTCAAGTTGTGGTTAAATATAAAACTAAAATACTAAATAACCATGAAATGCAAAATGAGTTTTAAATAGTATCAGTAACTAATAAAATCATGCGTAATGTTGCAATGAAGTAAAAGTTATTTCAGTTGAACTTTCTACAAACTTCGTTTGGTAAAAGAAACTAGTTTTCGCCGCCCATAACTTTTGTACTGTTAAAGAAATCAGCATTCTCAAATAATTTAAACACTACCAGAAATCAATACACTTTCTCTCTCTCTCTACAAAGACAGCATAAACGTAATGTTCTCTGACTATGAAATTCTGAACTAGTCAAGACAGTAATTATTTTTAGTGCCAAGTTTTGGCGTGTGTGCAATTAATTTTTTTTAAACTCAACTTCGTTAAGAATATGTCTAAAGGATTAAATTCAACGAGAACAGGGTTTTGATAAGACAGTGTTTCGCTCAAATCATTGTTTCCTGTCCCTGTCCAATAAACGGAGAACCCCGTGACATAACCAGTTATTGGATTTTCTGCGTCGAACACGCAAACGCCTGACAGTTATGCAGGCCCGTCACGAAACTGCGCGGTGTTACCGAAACGTACAAGATAGTGTGTGTGTGTGTGTGTTATATATCAATAGTTATTTTTGTTTTTATTTAAAAATAAAACTCTAGTTTGTTATTAAAAAACATTGGGGTTAGAACCTGACTTCACATACTATACCTCGAAATTCCATACATGAAACAGCAGGTTATCTGATTTTTAACCAGTGTTGTTCAGGGTTGTGTCTGAAATTCACGGCATTGATTTTCACGTTGCGTGCGCAGACTGGTACAAGGACGTCACATACAATTATGAACGTTAAGAAGAGATCAAAACTACGAAGGGAAGTGTAGGAGAAAGTGACGTAAGGTTATCAACATGCAAAATTTATCTTACAATGAATTAGTAGTTGAAATGTTTCACATCAGTCAGTTGGTGTTCTGCCATCAAGCTAACAGGTAGCTGAATGTAGCTGATGATATTTTATTCGGTGTTTATGAAAGAAGACAAGTCAGCTATACTTGAGTTATTGTTAACATGTCATAACAAACCAGCAATCAACAAGTACTGAGCAAATGCTGCAGATAAATGTTTTTTGGAATGAATCGAGCCTACCCTATCATTCCAACCCCAGTTGTACCACCCTTATATCAGCCCCATAATAGTGCATCAAGTGGTTCCAACAGAAGCAGTACACCACATCCTGAAACTATTCCTCCACAAACTACTAGAAAGCGACATAAATCATCTCTGACTTTTCTTAACCACACAACTCAAAAGTTGCCAATTTATAGTCAACAACACGAAAAACCTCCATCAATTCTTAAAAACAAGGAAAAATATTCAAGTTCGAAAGGTGAGAGAGGAGTTTCAGACATTCATGCAGGGACACACAACAATGATATGAATCGAATGTATGATGAAACGGATGGTTATGAAACAGGAAATGTCAGTAGAAGTCAGTATGAATTTTACGAAGGTAAGGAAAGTGTTGAAGATGAGTTTCAACCAAATATTCCTGGAACAGTGATTGAAAACTGCAGTCACAGCACCCAGATTTTTGTTAAGGTAAGAAATATCATCATATCTTTTATCAATTTAAAGTGCCTTAGAGAATGGTTTTAGCACTCAAAAGACTCTACTTTCACCATAATATATTGAGAAGTTAATATCAAGAATATTCCATTACAATATATTTGTAATTGAAAACTTGAAGTGTTAGTTAGTTAGTCCAGTCTGTCTTCAAACTGGTACATATTTTGGACTCTTTTTGTATTTTGGTAACTAGCTGTGCTTCCATCACCAGGTGAAAGTACAAAACCTTTTCTGTTGACTGCGACTAGTTTTGTCAAATTGATCCAACACATTAATTCTTATGCTTTCAACTGATGGTGGAGGCAAGGCCAGTTTCCGGAACATGTATCTATTAAACCATAGACCTTAAAAATTTATACAGCTGGTCTAGAATTTTGCTGCTTTTTTGGAGCCCAAGCGTTTATCACTGAGTTCATGTAAGCCTTGCCATAGGACTGTATTGGGCACTTGAACCAGTCCACACTTTTACACTCTGTCTCTCCAATATCCACGTTAATATTATTTTCTCATCTGTGCTTAACTGTACCGAATGGTTTCATCTATTGAGGTCTTCAATTTGAAATTGTGTATGCATTTATTATTTCTTCCATGCACATTATATGTTCCAGCTGCCTCACCTCCTTTTATGCACATTATATGTTCCAGCTGCCTCACCACCTTTTATTTAATAGCTCTAACAATATTAAGTGAAGAGTATAAATTATGAAGCTCCTCATTTTGTAATCTTATTTTCCTTCTTTTTCTTACTCCCAGATGTTCTCCTCATGCACCCTCCATCTATATTGATGGTGTCATGCCAAAAGGGCATATCAACAAAATGGATGATTCACAGGTGACATATTTCTTACATTTATTTGGTTCTACAAATGTGCATTTATAATGTTCATATGCCCAAATATAATTCTTTGTCTCTCTTTGTAGATTTGCATGAGCCCTTCTGGCATAACATACATCCCACTATTTTAAGTTGTTGGGCCAAATATTTCCAAATATGCAAATATGTTGATACACCCTTCTGGTATGATGCTCTTAATATGTTTCTTTAAGAAGTCATAACTAAATCTTATCTTATAAATAAAAATTTTACTGAAAATCTTAGGACAACTGTACTCAGTTAATTTCCTATCCTTATAAATCACAAATATTACATGAAAACCTACATTTTAATGCACAAAGTGGCTTTTAAACCATGTTGGGGAATCCCCAGCTAGATATGTGCCCATGAAAGATCACTGACTACAGACAACTCTGACGTCAGTGGCATCATTCAAAAATGTCAAAGGTTATGTTTTGATAGAACAACACCCTCTCATAACTACTTAACAATACTAACAAAAGAGCATTCACAAATTAAAAATGTAGAGGCAATAACAGAGCATATATACCAGAACTTTTATACTATGCATACATTTAATAACATATTTTGTATAAGCCTTGGGTGTTTGAAGAGTCAAGTAACAAATAATTTTTGATTTCAGATCTTGAGCCAGCAACCACATGGAACCTCACAGAGAATATGTAATATCAAAGAGGATAAAAATGGTGGAGTAACCATTTACATGTCAAAGCCACAGAAAGATCATGACAATATTAATAATCCAAAACAATACGAGGATAATTATGAACAACTAAAGAGGCAGAAAGACTGCCAGAATCTTCATAATCATCCCTCAGAACCACCAAAGATACCACCAAGAAAATCAAAACAGAAAACAAACAAGGAAGCAAAGACACAATCAAAGAAAGCATATTCTGTTGAAAATAGTTTGCCAGAAGAGCAGCAGGATTACCAGCACATTTCTGGGACATCAGAAATGAATGCAACACACACTTCTGCAGAGGAAGGACAACATAATATTCAGAACTATGATCCTGACTTAAACAGGAATGTTAACAGAAATGGAGATGATACAGAAATAGTGATACGTGCTGAAAGTGAGGTTCAATTAGGTAATTCAAAACTGACATATAAAGACATAGCATTACCAATAAGCATAGACAATAAAGAGTTTACTGCAGAACAATGTATATCTGTTGGGGTTCAGGTTTCTCCTTCACCACAATATCGCTTGAGATTTCTACCAGCAGGTGGCTGCTCTGCTAACAACAGCAGTGAGTGGGAATTCTGTGGCTCTGAAAGGATGCGATTCTTTTTGCAACTTGTAGGTCGCTGGACATTTTCCCAGAGTGGGTTAGGGGTTATACTCTTCATCTGGGCTTTGCTAGGTGCCACTGCATTCCGAGCAACAGAAGGACCCTATGAGGAGCAGGTAGCAAGAGAACTAATGGCTAGGCAAGAAGAACTAGTGATTGAATTGTCAGGGGATTTAAGGATATTAAAACAGGAGGAACCAGGGTGGCATAACAAGATAGGGTATTATGTGGATAAACACAAAGAAATGCTACTTGAAGCAGTGAGTGAAGGCTATGGAGAAGGAGGCAGCAAAGGCAAGATATGGAGTTACGCAGGGTGTCTACTATTTTCCGTGTCACTTCTTACCACGTTAGGTAAGATGCATTTGGATTATTATCATACTTGGTACTAGGCATTTATTTCTGTTGAAATAACACCTTCTCTATAACACATAAAAATGACACGAGTGCAAAATTGTGCTCCAATAAAGTACACATATTTGACAAATATGTTGACCCCTTTTCATTCTGTGTTGGTCTTCATGGGCTTGCTCACTTACTGAAAATACATGTATGTTGTTATGCTAGCCATACTGCATATTAAGAAATTAATTTTGTTTATATTTCATTGAATCATGTTTGAAATAAAGTTTTAGATCTTAATACTATCAGGTTTAAATATTACGTTGTACACTAATTTTCCACGGTGGTCTAGCGGTCAGAACACTAGCCTTGTAAGCCTGGGGTCCCGGGTTCAATTCCCGGTGGTGCTCAAATTTATAACTTGTGTTGGGCAAGGCCGTGGTCTAGGCATCATGGAGTTTTCCTCCGGGGGCTTCCCCGGTTTCTCCGTGGCATCCCAACAATTACTCCACTCACACACAGAAGAAGGCAATGGCAAACCACTTCTGATCATCTCTGCCAAGAATGTATATATGTATGAGCAGGTCCCTGACAACCTGAAGGGGTTGAAAGGATCCTGTTCATGATATATGGACCTGTCGTCAGACAGAACACTACAAATAAAAAAATAAACACTAATTTTATATAAAGAATCTTTTTGAAATCTGATAAATTATCATTTCAGTTTCATAGACAGTTGGGGCAATAAATGAACAGTATACACCAAAATAAAATTCAACTTAGAGCTTTTAGTGTGAATCTGAAGTAGTAAGTTTTATTACATTCCTAGAACAGTGAAATGTGTGCAGGCAGACATCCCAATTATTTTATACACTTTATGTAAAGAATTTTCAGTGATTGGAATCTGTTATAAGAAATTGCAGCTTTCACATGTGAAATTAAACATTGCCTTTCTTACTATTGGGACCCTTTCACTGCTGAGGGATTATGTCAAAACTTTTCATTTTATTTTTACATTCTGTTGCTGAAAGTTCATAAAATGTAAGCTTCAGTACTTAAGAGATGGCTATGAATACTCTTTTCCATTGGTATTATTACAGATGAGGTCCACTTGTATTTCATTTCTAACTTTGAAAAAATTAAACGCTTATTTTCTATTAAGATGAAGTTTAGAAACAGTACCAGTTAAGACTACTTCTTTATAATTTGATCTTTGAACTATAACCAAGACAGCCTGGAGATTCCCAACCCAGCTACTTCAGTGTGCAGAAACACATGTGGTCTTCGTGTAAAGCACCCATTATTGTTGTGCATTTCAAATAAAGTTGGAATGTGTTCAAAAATGTTACAGAACTTACCAATATCAAATTTAACCTTTAAAGTACCAGGCTTTTAAATTTCCATAGCCCCTGCTGACCTGATTTAAATCCCACAGTTACACTACACTGTGCATGTTTTTTTTGATAAAACATTGCATCTTTTCTTAAACACTCGTATATAACAATTAAGTAAATTACACATTGTTCGAAAGACTTTACTTTACCACTCGGAACTGTTCCTCAAGCTGTCACTCTGCAAGATTTCTTCTAATTGAAAGGAATATCATGTGTATTTACAATTTCTGCCAACATTTGATTCATATTTTGAAAGATATTGTGATATTATTAATGTATTTAATTTAAAATGTGAACACATTGTGTAAACATTTCTTTTCCCTCAGACAAACAACTGTAGAATTCTTTGTTCCTGTTATACACTCACACAAACATAGGTTCAACCAATTTTTCTCCCCCATAATACAATTTGCCATTTGAGGGTCAGGTTTGCTTGGCACAGTTTCTAGCACATAGAAATGTGCAGTCCAACACCAGGGGCCTCACAATATTACACACTCATTGCTTAGTGTTTCATGTGCTTTTTCTCCAGATGGGACAACTGGGGTAATTTTGGGCTTGTTCTCCTTTTTAACTAGTTGTTGCATTCCCATTCCATTTACAGCACCGTCTTCTGCTGCAAGGAAAAGGTCACTAAAAAATTGTTTCCTAAATTACAAGTGGATCATTTTGCTTCATACAGCTTCTCTATTATATAATAATTTATGACAGTTGAATAAAAGCTTTTTGTTCACTCGAAGTTTTGCAGCTTCTGCAGACGTATTGTCCATCCTGTCAATATAGTTCCTGTATGTTGCAGTTTGCAGTACTTGGGCCTTCAAAGCATTGTTACCAGCAAATATTCCCCTCAGCTACAGCTTTACCTGCCTCTCACCTCTTTCAAGCACGCTGCTGTGATATTGCAGTCATTGTTACTTATAATACCCCATTTTTTCTTTTCAGGGCCCTAGAACCAAAATTTTGGGGCATTCCTTCTGTTATGCCAAAAAGTGTCGCAATAATCAATTTTCCTGCTGTAGAGGCCACCGACGGTAGTACGCCTCTAAATGTCGTAAATTTAGGTACATGAATTTCTCAGCTTACATAGGCAATTCTACTTCTGCTTATCTCTGTAGGTGGGGTGGGGGTACTGTTGCATTATCTGCATAATATTGAAATATGAATAATTACGTTTTGAATAATTCCTTTAAATAAGACATCTCTAGTACTGTTTTTGTGCAACAGTACCTCTTTTTGTGCCCCCAGTATAGAATAAATGCATGAAAAACTTTCATCTCTTTATTTGTAATACTCTGTAGTGGCAGGCTGCTAGTTACTTAAAGGATGTAATACAAACATCAGTACAGATTCCTCCAATAATAATGTGACGAGAAACTGTGATAGGTAGAGTGTGGAGTATTTGATGGACCAAGAATAATCCTTGATATCGGGTGTTGCACTACAAGATAAACCAACAACGGATCTTATAAATCTTTGTACCTGTCTAATACTGCTACTTCTTTCCACATGTCATCTGATCATTTATCTTTTGAATAAGAAAAAATAAATGTTCCAAACATTTGGCTCCTCATCTGTAAGCTTCTCTCTTGAATCTCATTCTAGATACAGTCCTTGTACCATATTTTGTTTATTCAAAATGGAGACTTTTCAAGGGAACTGATTTTTATTTACTGATAATAAATTTTGTTGTGAAAATGAGAAAACTGGTGCAAATACACACCAATGACAAAGTTATGGTGAAATGAACCACTAAATCAGAGCATGCACATGTTATCATGCCAGTAAATTACTAGAAGCCTTCGAAATTTGTTGCCTTAGTGAAATTCAAAAGTGAACAAGAAAATTACTAACAGAAGTATTTAATTGCATAATCGCGAAATGAAGCACACAAATGTATTTTTGGAAGTGCACTGTAAAAATAATGTTATAATCAAGTTACATGTAAATAAATAAAAAATATATCAAAATGTTTCAAGACCATTTACCAGTGTGAAATCAGTAGTTGAGTTGTGCCCTTTCAGATGAAGTTGTTGAAAAACTTTTCAGCCCTGTACTCAATGTTTATTTGAAAGTTACAAGGTACAGCTGAAAATAAGAAGGCAATTATTTCTTAGAAACCCTGTTTCTCAAATCTACATTTTAACATTGTCCTACCATTACTTCTTACGTTTTTAAAGTGGTCTCTTCCATTGGGATTTCCCAACCAAATTTATGTTCTTGTTTCTCATCTCACGTATGAATGCTACATGTCCCACCTACCTTGTGATCCTTGATCTAATCATCTTATTTATATAATGTGATTTATATTATTACAAGAAGATTTGGCTGTTGTTTCTTGACAATATATCTTGTCCCGTTCACTGAAAGTGTTAATGAAAAAATTATTAATTCAAACACATTATCATAGTCTAGAATTAAAATTCCACCATATAATTTTTATGTTTGTAAAATTCTAGAGTTTTATGGAAATGACTCATCAATAATTACAACTTAAACAATTTTACAAACCATCCCACTATCTTTCTTCTTATCCTTTGAGCACTATTTTTGTAAGAGAGTAGGTGTGGGAGAACAAACAGCAGTGAATGTGGGCTTGTCAATTTATTATGAATTTGATATTGATTTTAGTTTAGTCTCCATTCCATAGCTAATTTTGTCTGTTGGTCGGTCATTTCCCTTTGTTAGGTGAAATTTCCCTATATATTATGCATACTCTTTTATCTGTTACAAAGTTAGTGAAATGCCTTTTTTTTTACAGTGGAGTAACTCATTATTATAACCTTTAAACTGCCTTTACATTCAGTCTTGTTAACATTATGCCATCTACAAAAATCAGTTATATGCATTTGATTATTTTTCTTCAATATTTATCTTTTAAGTTCATAAACATTTGTGAATTTGTATTAAAAAAAAGGATGTCAGCATAATACTTATTAGGCTGCATCAAAGAGGAGCCTGCTTTATTATCAATACCAGAATAGAAAACTGTGAACTAGCTTTCTTCATGTTTTCATGATTTTCCAGACAAAATTCATAATAATACTTTAAAATTTCTGTCGTTGTTTCCTTCCACATTAATTTAAGTTCATCATTCACAGTCACCGTGTATTATAATATTATTCAGTATTCATAGTTGGTACAATGTCATAAAATGGTTAACACTATTTAACAATGCTATCTCAATTGCAGAGATTGTGTAGCATCAACTGGTGTTGCGTACTTTGCGTGGAATGTCAGAGGACTGCATGCATTACTGTTAACAACTTTCTCAATATTGTAGTAACCAAATAACCAACCATTATAACAACAGTTACTTTAAAAGGAAACTACAGTTCTTGGTAGTTCTTTCTTGGACCCTTTCAATTCATTTTAAAATCCCTACCCTATCGTACATGCACTATGAACATGTGAAAAGCAAAGGAGAAAACGTGTATCCGTCTATTGTGCTTCTGTTTATGTAATAAAATTCAATATCTTGGATGCCATGTAGCTTCTTTGTCTGAATATATCCACTTGCTATTCTGACTATTCATTGCTAAAGATGCAGAAAATAGCTCCCAATTTCATATGTGTTCTTGAGCTCAAAAAGTACTCTTATGGCATTGAAGCAAACTACTTTCTGGACATTATCCATTGTCCCAGATTTAATAAAACACAACATTTCAGAAATTGGAATCTATCTCCATCTTCAGGTAAAACCTACTCTGTTGGGCTGGTCCAATCGATAGAGCTAGTCACTATCTCCGGAGATAGGGACTAGATGGTTCTCGAAGCGTCAGTGTTTTCTTCATTAAACCACCTTACACGGCTGGTAACCTGGAAAGAATTCATTGTATTTAGTCGCCGTGAAAGCTTCAGATCATACACAACATGTGAAACTGTTTGCAGTAGTAAGTTGGTAACATCTTATATAGATTGCCATGAGTTTCAATACATTATCTTTTTATTAAACATGGTGGCCCATATATGGATAAGAAAGGGTGAATGTGGCCTACATTTGAAAAGGTTGAGAAATTTTACTCCACACATTTGGAACATTAACATTATTCTGAGTAAGTTATTATCTTCATGCTCTAGCCATTTTACTTATACTGGACAAGAAGCCAATGTTCCTAGCCCTGGTGAAGTTTCCATTAGAACAGGGGAGGCTTTAAGAGATACACACTTTCCTTTCTCTCATTTGAATAGGAGTAATAATAAGATTGTGTAATTTATATAATTCATGGAGCAAACGTTTTCAATAAGGAGAAGTCAGAAGGCGCTCTCCTAATTGTTTTACTGTGCAGGTCACATACATCAGACAAGATGTTCTTTACATTTTGCAAGGTTTTGGAGCTCCAGTTCCAAGAACTACATTGGGCAGAATATCAGCTGTGATATTCTCAGCAATTGGCATCCCGTTACATCTGCTCCTAGTGCTAAACATTGGTATGCTGGTAACAGTCAAGCTGCAATTTCTTGCCACCAAATGGCAACCTGGCACATCATTTCCCACAGCGCTGTTCCAATGCTGTTGTCGGTACGGTGGTGAGTAACCTAGAGTTAAATTTTGATGTAGCCACATCAGCATAGGTGTTTACGACCATACACAATATTATCTCTCAAAGAAAGTGGTTGGTATAAGTACCTAGAAATATGTAACTAAAATATGAAACCAATGAACAGGGAAGAGGCAAAACACAGTATGGCAGTAAAATGACCAGTAACTCACCTCTCTTTATTGGTAAACACATCAAACCATCAAAATTTCCAAAGAAACTTTGGAACATGGAGTCTGTACGCACTGTTTTAAAATACAACATAAGTTCACTAGTAACACTTGATTCTAATACTGTTTTCTTTCAGTAAAGAAACCATCCAGTCCAATTCAGCAAACATCTGAAGATCAGATTTCTGCAATAGACACTAATATCAAGCCAACAAAGGTCAACGCAAACCCTTCTGTCTCTCCACCTAGATGGCTGAAGTGGTTCCCTGCAGTGTCTATCTTCTTGTACTACACTTTTGGGGTGTTAATCTTTGGAGTAGGCAGAGCACAGCCATTTGCTGCCTGTCTTCTCTTTCCCCTTGATTTTACAGCAGCAGGTGGTGTAGGTCTGACATCTGGGCCTCTCCGGACATTCTATGCTATCTACTTAGAGGGGGCTGTGACACTGGCTGCAATATCCGTCTCCATCCTTCAAGTTTCAGCTTCAAGAGGATTAACAGACCTAGGTTTGAAATTTGGACTACTAACAAACTCCTGACTGGATTGCTGTAAAATTATAATATAAATACTTTGTTATTCTTCACACATGAATTTCTAATGTATTACATGTCACAGTTTATGTTGGACATCACATATTTAATATATAGAATGTTTCTTCTACTTCTGTCCTACGGTGATATTAGGTAACAGACATATCTACAGTTTTCATCCTTCAATATTAGTGGCAGCAGATGGTAAAAAAACTAAGAACTTTTCAATAGTAAATATACCTGTATGTCCATCTCAATGTTTTGGGTTCGGTTCTGACAGTGCAATTATTAGTATACAAAATATCAGCCAATATACTGACAAATCACCTGAAGACAACCATTTTCTGCAATTAGGTTTATGGTTTTCTTGGTAATGAAAATGTGGAATGTTGTTTTTGGGTGTTGACACCATATAGTCACGTAGTTAGATACCAACATTTTGAATGAACATTGTTAATTACAAACATCACAGCCAAGACCAAAATCAAACTTCTGAAATGTTGTATTAATCAAATAGACTTCAAATGCTATATAATGTTCAACAAACAGTATCATATCAACCACTGTAACAAACGTTAGGAGAATCACATCTCAGATATTACCAAAACAGGTCAGAGAATGAGCGAGCACAGTTTGTTGCCTACAGGCAATCAGCAGATCAAATCTTTAAGCTGAATATCCTGACTCAGAAGTTTGGTGGTTTTCCTTACTCACTCCAGACAAATGCTCAGATCCTTGTTTCTTCCTCTGCAATCCCACCGAAGTCATACTTCATCACATACTACAATCACTGTTAGCTTCCTAACAATCAATATTAAATTAAATATAAAAAAATTAGGGAAAAATCATTACGCAAGATATTTTTTTAAATGTAAATTAAACAAGAGTAAATATATATATATAACATGTGAATATGATCAAATGTGAATATGTAGTTCCACTATTGCACATAAATCGCAATTGTAGTGTATAAAAGGCATAATAGAGAAGTTCTGAGGAAATTTATTTTCACTCTAGAAATATTTTATCCACTTACTAGTTGAAGTTACCAGAAAATTGGGAGAAAAACACAGCACTTAGCAAGCTTTCAGACCCGTTTAGAAAATTAAGATAATTTTTTTTTTATTGAGTCAATATTTAACTTAAATTTTAATATTGAGACTAATGGACATATGCTTCATATTAAATAAAATCAAGATTTTAAACAAAGAAATATGCTGGCATATGAAATTGAAATGCATTTGTAATCGGCCACATAACCTCCACTGACTACTTGTATTCTTTCAATAACATAAAAATTGTATATTTTTATATAACAGTGTAACATGGTCATTTGATAAGCAATTTTACTTCAATATACATATAAAATCAATGTTAATTTCTACAAAATATATTTCTGGTACCTACATGTATTTTATATAGCAAATGCCAGTATGATGTATCATGTACAACTAGGGAAAATTCCCTGCATAATGTTATGCTATTTTTTTCAATTATTATCAAATGACCTACTGAAATCATTTATTAAGTTCATCCTTATGTAATTCTGGAAACTGCTGGATACTCATTTGTTATCCTTTTCTGGATCACTGTTAGTTTATGGAAACCAATTAATTTAATGTTGTACTATATATCTATGGTATTATGAAAGACTCACTAAAACACTAAAATGTTGTATAAAGCAAAGCTTTCATGGCGACTGAAATTTATGAAAGACTCTCGGGCAACAAGCTTCGTCAGGTGGCTGAATGGTGAAAGAACGTTGGCAGAATAAATGGTTCATTTACCATTCAACAACCTGATGTGGCTTGTTGCCCGAGAGTCTTTCATCAACTAAAATGTTTGTTCATTAACTTATTTTTTAGCTTATAAATACACAATAAAACATAATCTTTTTAAAGGCAGCTCCTGAAGTGGATAAGTATTCCATTTCTCCATGACAAAGACAGAACCTGACTTTACAGTGCAACTTCTCTAAGTAGGATAATTTACTGTAGAATCAGTGGATGTAAAGCCCTCAGGTTGGGCCAGAATGCTGTGATTATTTTCTCAACTTAGCCATCTCCTTGACATTCTTCTGTAGGGAAGTGACAATATTGTTGGGGTAAGCTAAAGTTCCAGACTGTACTCACACTGGATCTTATGATAGCTTTACTTTGCATTACAAAATTTTAATGCCCACTGTCACACAATTAAATCAGTGCTTGAAGTGGGGTGTCATGTATATTTCTAGTACTTCTTAAATTATCCTGTTGCTTATTGTAGACTTATTTATATTTTGGTTAACAAATGTTAGCCTAATATAAAATAAGATACCAGCCATCCCAATTTTGTTTCCCTCTTGTATGAAACACTGCTAAAAATAAAAGAATATGAGATTACTGTTTTTTGGAATTCACCCCATTGTGTGTATCTCATTAGATGTATTCTAGGAGTTTTTCCTTTTAAAATGCAAGTTAAACTGACTGTACTAAAATATTACTGTCTTACCTTAATACTTACATGTTAATTCAAAGTAATGAAACAGATTATTTACTTTTCTGAACATTGCAGTTTTTATACAGATCTATACAACTGCATCATTTAAATCTAAAATGCCTCTTACTGTTTAATATATATGAAATATCAAGTGATATTAATTTTAGATTAACAACTGTTTTATGCTGTCTAGCCTCTTTTTCTCCTTAATTTTATTAGATAATCATGAATTAGAGCAATGAAACTTGTACAGTGATGTTAGCATAGATGCTGAATATCACTAACACCTTCTTATTTATACATTAATATTAAGATTTAAACTATGTAATATCTGTGTTCCTAATATCTTTAGATACAGTAAAATACAATCACAACTTTATGTGCATTCTATTTATATATATATAACCATCATTTGAGAATAGGGCAGTTAAAACACTATTGTATGGCTGCTAAGCCAGTCTTTAACTACAGGGTTTAAGTCCAACAAAAGGACGAAGGTTCTAACAAATATGCTAAGCAGAGGCCCTGAGAAGCCAGCAGTACATTCAGCTAGTCAAGAATTGCCTATTGAACCTTAAGGTTCATCTCTATGATCACAAGAGCCCACCTGCTAAACATTTCTTAAAGAGTCATTAAAAAAATAGTAAATCTGTCAAATGGTCAGCATGTCCCATATTTGAAGTGCTGTGACAGATTATGGTAGTAAAAGCATGAGGTACTATGAGAAATACCAAACCAAATCATATTTTGTTTTCAGTAAGCCCCATGTGAATTGCCCTGAAATTGAAAACCACACACTCCTGTTGAATTTGGCATTCCATGGCAAAGTTATAACAGTCTTTCTGTATTAAGGAGTTCACCTGAAATTCAGAATGACTTTGTGTAAGTTAAAGATGTTCACTTTCATTTCATGAGGGTTTAAGTGTGATGTCTGCTGCTATAATATTATACTTCATTAAATACATTATTCGTTTTATTAATAAGCAACATGCCAATGACAAAATACAATTACTGCACTAACTATGAGCTACAACTCTGAAAAGGTTGTGAAGTATGTAAGTGAATACAATGTGGTTAAATTAGGAAACTTCATGGAGTTAAAGCGCTTATGCTTTTATTTTCATCATTCCCTTAACATCTTAACAGGTGTATAGCTAATTTAACAGGCGACTTGCACCAGCAAAATATATTTTATTTTTAATTTGTAATAATTAGAAATAAAATAAAACAAATCATTACAACAAATTTTATCTAAATATATAGAATAACATAATGTTCATGGTTCACACTGCACTATAAATATTTGTGAAGAAAGTTGCATACAGCTTGTTGATTTTCTAATGGTTTGTTATAAACTCTGGAGTAAATTCTGGTATCAGTTTCTTTTTTGATGTTTTCCAAAATAAAGATCACTGCATCCAATCCACTAAATGTTTACCCATTATTTTTTGATCATTAGACTGGATATATGACCAACTCTTAATTTAATCCTTTGCACTGTAACCTTATTCTGCCTCTGCAACACTAATTGCAATTATTTAGGTTTCTGTTCTAGCACCCATTAAAATTGGGGCATTATAAAACATGGAGTTTCTCAAGGTTCAGCACTAGGTCCTTTGCTTTTCCTCAAATATATCAATGATTTACTGCCAACCATTAATGCTTAGTCTAAACCCATACTCTTTGATGTTGATACTAACATCCTGAAATTGACTGTTTCCAGATTTGCATGAATCACTTCTTTGCTAATTTGAATACCATACCTTGTTATGAGGACTGACACATCCTGTGAAAAGAGAAACTTAAAAATTAGTCTATTTTGCTTACTTCCATTTGATCATAACACATGGAATTATTTTCTGGGGAAATCAACACAGCAAAAAAGTATTTTATATACAAAAGAAAATAACTAGAATAATGGCAGACACTAGGTAACCCTAGTGTAGAAAATTATTTATAAAATGTAATATTATTGAAGTTTGTAAATTATTGTCATAACTATGTCACTTATATTTGTATCAGAAACAAGTATTATATTTGTGCTATAACATGTTCTACACCCTTAACTTGGGCCTGGTAAGGTTCTATGTAATGTAAATAAATTCTTATGTTGTAGTCTAAAGTTTCCCAAATAGGTAGCAGCACACGCTTGTTCCCGAAGTCGGAGAAAGGTTTCCTAAGCGAGGACCTTTACAGAACGCAATATTGTATTTTAATATATGCAGGACCTTTGTAAAAAAGTCGTTTTCACATTTTCCAGTATTTCTAAACAACTTTCTTTGTGCTAGATGAAAATGACAATGGTTCACACCCAGTGACTTTCTTTGTGCTAGATGAAAATGACAGTGGTTCAAACCCAGTAACATGCCATAGAAAATATGGTGTTAACATGTCGGCGAAAATGAAGATGGTTGTTTTCTGTGTTGTAGAACCTTTGGTACTTTTTTTACCTCTGCAATTTTGGTAAGCTTCTACCGGACTACGGTTCGACAATTTATAGAAGGCAGCGTCCCAACTTAAAGCACCTAAGACATTTGCCGAATTTTACGTACTCTGTGGAAATGTTAATAAACAGTTCTCAGCATAAGATGATGTAATTTCAGTTATCTGTGATTATTACGAAACTCTGCGAAACAAATATGTTGCGAATTCGTTAAGCATGGCCACAATGCGGGGTTTCGTTGGTATTTTCGGTACCAGAAGTGTTAATTTAGTTGTATTACAGGTGGTAAATAAATTTCCATGTCGGTACTTTCATAAATGCGTAGAATGTGGATGGATCCATAGCTCGACATTAAGTTCTGCAGGAGTCTTGAAGAATGTTAAATTTAACCAACGTAAGCCATGTATTCTTAATTTGAAATTCACTTTCTTTTTTGACAGTATTAGGTGTACTTATTAGACATGATTCATTCCTAAATATTTTTATAGGAAAGGGGCTGTGATAAAATGTGTGTAGTAATCCGTGTTTTGTACACTATCCGTCGGAAATGTGTTCAAACTGCGAGAGTATTGTTTTAGTAGATCAATATAGATGCATGTTATAGATCAGTGATGCACAGCCTTTAGGTGAATGTAGGTACACGTTATTGATCAGTGATGCATAGGTTTTTTCTGTGAAGGCACCTTATTAAGTGTGGTTTGTCCATTGGCTGCACAATGTATGTTTTATAAATAATAACGAAATTTGTTGCTGTTATTAATAGGAACTGCATTTGTAAGAGAAAGATGAATAAAAGTTTCTATTAATAAAAATTCATGTAATTAATATAATGTAATGCTCATAAATAATTTAAACAACAGCTTAAATGGATGTCTTCTGGGTTGTAGCTCCGTGTAGTCAGGTTGGAATTTACCAGCATTTCAGAGATTCTTGCATGCCTCTGATCTTCATGATGATGAGTAAGCTGTATGTGAGGAATGTTTTTTTGCTATGGGAACCAGTCAACACAGAAATTTGATTGGACCAGTTGGGAGTAAGGTGAGGATTGAGTGAGGTCAAGGGAGCTAATAGGAGAGAGGGAGTATATCACAGTCTGGCCAGAATGGTGTGGAAAGGATCTACAAGAAGGAGAGAGAGCATAAAGGAAGTAAGCATTATAAGATCCCCAGGGGGGCCAGCAGAAAGATCACCAGACATGAGGGTAGATGGGAGGAGGAGGATAAAGAAGGGAAATATACAGGAGAGAAGATCACCTATATAACTTGAGAGTGGAAAGAGGAAAGAAGGAACTCGCCAGGGCTGGGTTAGTGCCCTGTAAAGAAGAGAGTGCTGGCATAGCAGCCAGGTTGGAACGCACTGTTGTTTCAGAGGCTTTCTGTGTCTTTTGAGAGAGTGGATGAGGACCTTCTGTGATGGGCTGTGGCAGAGGCCTTTCTCCCTGTTCATGTTATTGGAGTGCAGCTGAATCTTAATGGCATCCCTGATCATCCAGCCCTTGTATCTGGAGTTGGCAGAGAAGATGGTTGTGTTTTGGAATAGAATGCAGTGTCCCAGGTTATTGCTGTGTTTAGCCATATTTGATTTGTCTGGATGCTCCAGACAGATGTGCCTGGATGGTTTCAGTGGAACGGTTAGTCTTCCGTAGACTTGACCACACTCGCAGGGAATGCAGAACTCACCACGTGTCTTTAAATCCCAGTTCGTCCTTCACAGGTGGAAGGAAACTTATCTTCTTTGGGGCAAGCCTGCACATTTGATGTGCCTGAGCAGCAGAGTGCTGATGCAGTTATAAGTCATGCTCATGTAGAGCAAGAAGATGAGTGAGAAAGGTTTCTGTGAGGCTGGTGCTACTCTTACTGGTGTGTTGAGAGCCTGCTGGTTGCTATAGCCATTCTGCCTGAAAGTGGTCCTAAGAAACTCTTTTTACTATGTAAGCATTCCTGTTCACAAAGGGATCTGACCCTGTATACCAGTATGGAATGTACATCGTGTTTGTTGGAAAGGTGGTGGTGAGACTAGGAGTTGAGGTATAGGTTAGTGTGCATGTGTTTTTGATAAATTTTGTGGCCTAGTGAGCCATCAGGTTTGTGGTAGATGTCGATATCAAGGATGGGAAGGTGGTTGACCCTTTCTGTCTCCACATTGAACTGAATGTTCTCATGGATACTGTTCTGGTGGTCAAGGAACTCTGACAGCTTTGCCTGGACCATGTGGCCAGAAGATGAACTTGTCATCCACATAGTGAAATGAGTAGAGGGGCTCCTGGGCCACCCCCTCCAATATCATTTTTTAAAAGTGTTTTATGAAGAACTTTGCAATGGCATGGGACAGTGAAAAATCCATAGCCACACTGTCAATCTGCTTGTAGAATTGTTAGATGAAACCGAAAGAGGAAGAAATAAAAATGTCTTCATTAAGCTGCTGGGTCAGGAGGTGCATGGCTTCTGTAATGAGTACCATGAAACATTGGTAAACGTCTACTAGAATACATGGCACTATAACCCAGAAGACAGCCATAATCATAGGTTTGTTGTCTTCATATGATGTTTTAAAAGGGTTAGCAGATGCTCTGAATGTGCTTCTCTGTCTTTCAAGTCTATAAATGTGTCCGAATGACTGCTAGAGGTGTTTTATGTGTTGGACATACCGACTACTATTCCACTTGTATTGTTGGAATAATTTGCGTCAGTTTGTAAGGTGGGAAGAATTCTTTAAAAGTTGTAAATGAAATAATGATAACTTCATTTGGAAGGTTGATATATTGTTGCATAATTCCCTTACAATCTGACATCTCCATTGTGGAATGCAATTTATGTCATTCAGATGCCCAAAAATGTTGGTGTCATATATTGATGGTATTTTCTATGTGTATATCTCAGTTGTGACAACTTCCAGGCGATTAGGTCCCTCTACATTTTTGTTTTGTGGTATACTAGACATTCCTGTCATAAGTGACTACCTTTTTCCCCACACCATGTATAGCAAAATTAGGTTTTTTCTGTTTAAGAAGTCTGTTTTTGCAGGAGATGGGTAAAAGCATTTCGAAGTCAAAGCTGAGTGCATTTAATCCACCAGAGATTAATGTGTGGTACCGTTTCTAGTTGGATAAAATGCATCATGAGAGCTTTGTAATTTGTGTTCTTTATCAAGTATTGTTTGGGTGATTAAATGAAAGAGAGTATGGTGGATTGGGCATGTATCATGTATGGAGGAGGATACTGATACATGCCTACAAAATTTTGGTCAAAAAACCTGAAAAGAACATACTCTTGAGCAGAAGTAGGTATAATTGGAAGGATACTATTAAAACTGACTTTTAAGTAAGCCACTTATATCCTCTGCCATACTGATATTCTTCCTCACATATTATTAGCGACCTATACCTGTGGTGGTTAGAGATATTACTTACCTGTAGGTTGTGCAAACTGTTTCTTGTCAGAATGTGAGTATTGTGCCCTAGTGTAACATGACCTTGGACACTTTCTTTTAATACTGCAAAGGACTTTTAACAGCAGGAACAGTATGTCTTAGTCGATACATCCACCGATCGTCAACATACAAGCAAAAGAAAAGGGACTACTATGAAATACTTGGTGTTTCCCGGAATGCTTCAGCAAAAGATATTAAAAAATCTTACTACCAGCTGGCAAAAAAATATCATCCAGATACAAATAAAGGTGACCCAGATGCTGGACGCAAATTCCAAGAAGTTTCAGAAGCCTATGAAGTAAGTATGTTCATGTTGCACAAGATGAGTGCTCAGAAGTATGCTTGTCCACTAGCCATGGGTAAGTTAAAAAACAGGTGGCTAGTTCAGCTTTTGTCTTGGTGTAAATACATTGAAATTCAGTAGAATATAATCCCATTTTTAATTAATATAGTGCTGAAATGAACTGTATAAGTGCTACCATAATAAAAATATTGATTAAGCATGCTGTGAGTATGTGGGTTTTGATAACATATTGAATTTCAGGCACTGGAATTTACTTTTCTAATGTAAAAATGTAATGGTTCATAGAGAATTAGGTTGGAGTGGTATGGATTGGATTCATCTGGCTTGGGATATGGACCAGTCGCAGGGTCTTGTGAACACAGTAATGAACCTTCGGGTTCCATAAATGTTGGGAATTTCTTGAGTAGCTGAGTGACTGTTGGCTTCTCAGGAAGGACTTGGCTCCATGGAATAAGTAATATGATATTAGGGATGAATGATGGATAATTGTCATTGTTTTACAGATGTTACTTTGCCTTTATCTGAAAGTGGCACTGAACAAACATTTTTAATCTAAGATGGGTAAGCTTTTGTAAAATAGTGCTACCTTTTCTGGTATTTTGCTTATGTGTAGGACGTCTAAATTGTAATTCTGATGCCCTGCACAAGATGTTATGAGCAGAACTGGAGAAAATTAGACGTTCTGTAGAACTTCTGAAAGCACCTGTTCTTTATCTGGTCTTTCATGAAACAGACTGTACAAAAGTATAAAGTGAAGCTTTCACGGTGACTGAAGTTAATGAAAGACTCGCGGGTTACAAGCCGCATCAGGTGGCTGAACGGTGAATAAATTATATCCTCCGCCAACTTTTTGAGAGCAATCTCTGCTCTCATCTCCAGTTCCAATCAGCGAGTGTGTTACAGAGGACCAGTTTTGTAATGCAGTGGCCTTGAGGATGAGAGCGTGTGTGTGTGTTTTACGTGATTTTTCTAGAAACTGCTATATGCGTGACAGGATGTCAGCAATGAGCAGATTGGGGTCATTGTCTAAGTGAATTTTTGCAGTGATTGGAACCATGGTCATTGTTACAACTGTGAACCTATATAATTGTTGAAGTACATTGTTGCACTGTGAATTGGGTTCACTATTGAAACACATTTGTGCAAGATTGTGAACTGAGCTGGTTGTTGGAGCTTGTAACAATGCAGACTCAGATCAGTGGATCACATTTTTGCAATAGTAACCTCAGATCACATTGCATCCATTCTCTAAGACACCATTGTTGCATTTCTAATTTCATTGTACCCCAAAGAGTATGACTTTCCAATCTTGCTTGCATTGTGAGTTGTTAGGCCCTTTGTCCCAAGTTCAAAGCCAGAAGACCACTCGTTATTGGCTGTCAAAACTCCATATTCAGTATATTTATATCTATTCTCCATAAGTGATGGTTATTTCCTCCAGCTGGAACCTGAGAGTGGGCCATGCTGTGGCGATGAGGGCCCTAGCGAACGTGGCACCAATTAAAAACAGGGCAACTTTATACTAATAAAAGTGGCAAATAGAATTTTAACATATTTTCTTTGTATTTTTGGACACAGTTTGAATTAGTTTGTGAATTGTGCAAGTATATATAGTTAATTTTATGCCTCATGAATTTTGAATTTTTTATATTTTGAGAAGGACTAATTTTAGGATTGGGATATATGAATGTATTGATTGAAATTAATGGTCAGAAAGACAAGCCATGGGTTTGTATTTGCGGCATTCTGTCCAAGTGGGAAGCAGTGTTGTGTAGAAGTTAGGGGAGTAATAATTTTAATGTGTTATGTGATGACCTGTTTTGTCCTGTAGGTGCTCAGTGATGATGCCAAACGCAAGCAGTATGATGCGTGGGGCACAACATCAGAACAGATGGGAATGGGTACTGGAGGGATGGGTGGAGCAGAAGGACAAAGGTTTAGCCAAAACTGGCAATTCAGATCTTCCATTGATCCTGAGGAGCTTTTCCGGAAAATTTTTGGTGATGCCGGCTTCAAGAGTGGTAGATTTGGAACTGAATTTGAAGACTTTGCAGAGTCTAGTTTTGGATTTGGTGCTGCTCAAGAGGTAGGAAATACTTGATGTTTCAAATAGTATTCTGCATACCAGAGTTCATTGTGTGTCATGGTGTGCATAATATTAAGCAGTTTTTTTCTAAGAGTTTTGAAGGCAAGTGCACTGTACTGACGTTTTGCGGAGCCACTATATTCTATACAGCTTTCCTTTATTTTAAGCTGAGTTGTGCAATTTTAATCAAGAGAAAAACAACTTAGATTTCAGGTTCTCGTGGCAGAAAGTTTGAAGATGACAACCTTCTGGGATATTGCAGTGTGTAGTCTTGTAGAAGTTGACCGACAAATCAGGTGTGTGTACTGCCTCTGTTATCAGGCTCTTTGCCTTTATGATGGAGGCATTATGTACTTTTGAAAATATTTGTCAGTTGTACAAGATTACATGCCACAGTAATATCCCAGAAGGCTGTCACCTTCAGAAACTAAACTTGTTTTCAGTATAAAAGGTGAATGAAGTAGAATTTATTTGCCAAATATATGGAACAATTAAATGTATTTAATGTGCGCAGTGATGGAAGAACACATACTTTCAAGTAGGGCAACATTCTGGAATTAATTTAAAGGGATTCTCAGTGACTTTGAGACACATTATTTAGTTTCAGTAGATTGTCATTCCTTTGTTTTTTATGCATTTTTATTGGGCGGGAACTGAAGTCAGGTGAAATTGGTCTTTGTCGTCTTATAAAAGTGCATTCACCATTGTCTTTGTTTAAAAGAATTTGGAAAACAGTCTGAATGAGTTTAGTGTCTTCATGAAGAGATCAAATGTGAGAACTAATTTAAACATGGTAAATTTGTGTTATAGGTGGTAATGAACCTCACATTCTCTCAAGCAGCAACTGGTGTTAACAAAGACATTCATGTAAACATGGTGGACACATGTCCAAAGTGTAATGGGTCACGTTCAGAGCCTGGTACCAAAGCAGTGAAGTGTTCTTACTGTAATGGGACAGGCATGGAAACCATAAGTACAGGTAACTATTTAGAGGAAAATAATTTATGGAGGTAGATTGATGTAAAATAGTGAAAAAGGAAACCTACTGAGTAGGTAAAACTGATGTATTACCTCTTTTTGACTTTTCCTGTGCAGTGAAAAATGTCCAGTCATCAGTTATTGCATATCTAACTTGGAACTGCTTTGGATGAGCAAAATGTTTGTGCAGGGTTCTGTAATTTATATTTGTCAGTGTAATACACTAAAATGTTATTACATTTTAATATTTCAAGGCTCTTCCATTCTTGTACTATGTACTGCGAGATGCTGAAAATACTGTATGGTATTAATCTTATTGTTGTATGTAACCAAACTTTATGGTCGAGTGGTTAGCTTTCTTGCTTTGTATTTAGCACCACAGTTGACATCCTGGTCCAGGGACCGACTATACTGACAGGTTTTTTTTTGTAATGTCTTCTTGTATCTCCTGGCAAATGCTGGGGGCAGTCTTTTTTTAACCCTTACCAAGCATTTTCTTTTTGTCTGTACACTTTTTTTAAACTGATATTATTACAAAACATGCATAAACCTGCTTAAAGTATAAAAACTAGAAGATAACATGTGGTAATTGAGTTTCGCTGTGTATATGTTTTATTAATAGCAAAAAAAAAGTGATTTGTAACATGATAGTTGACTTTCATTTTGTAGATGCTCCATTATTTGCTAAAGCTGAGTTATAACTTGATGCAGATATCTAATTGTAAATATTACGCATGTTTCTGTGCACTCATAACTGAATAAACACCACAGAACAGACTCCTTGAGAAGGTAATAGGTCAGGTTGTTACCCAACTACATAGATAGTTAAGTTTCTCATCTGTTTAGGAATTTGAGTTTATTTCTGTGTTCACAGAAGCTTGTGACCTGTCTGTATTCTGAGTCCCTGTGTAACTTTTATGGCATTCTGAATTTTTATGATGAGGAGGCATTAGCCCCTTAGCCTGCCCCAAAGATGTAGGACTACCCCTTGTTTGCTGTCCGTAATGTGCTTATTCAGTATGTTTGCAGCTGCCCTTCAGATTTGGAGATCTGCTTCACCCACAACATGAGGGTGTGCTGTGCCTTGGTGACAAGGGACTCACTCAATATGGTCATTGCACTCACTACTCACTGAAATTTGTTACTTTCCTCACAGATTTATTACTGCTTACTGACAGGTCAATACAGTTACTTAGAACTTTATATATGAAAATGTTTTATGACTGTGATTATACTTCATAAGTTAATTTTCAGTCATATATTGTTGTTCAGAACATGCAGACAGTACCGTATGAAAGAAATACAGTTAGCACTGGCATTAACTCTGGTTGTCCATTTATAATTGTAACAATTTAGAAATTTTTCAGAAGATTTTGATGTGGTACATTTCAAAACACTTATCTGGGTGTAAAATTAATTTTTTTATTGCGTATCCTGCAGTAATATATTTTTTCTTTGCACAGTTTGTTTGCCTTACACAGAAACAGGCAATGGGCCCCCATTTCCTTTTTGTCACGTAAGTTGGGTTTACCATTTCATCTTTCTTCAGGTGGGTGACTGGATGATATGCCTCACTTAGCCTTCTGTATTTTTCCACTAGTGCTCATTCTTTCATGTGCTAGGGATTTTACAAGTCTTTATCTGAACTTATGAGTCTTAGGCCTCTTATTGTGTTGTCCCTAAACCAAGACACACAGTAAGTATGAATTCACTACAGTGACTTACAAGAGCCAGGATAACATTTTTATAACTCACTTCATTCTTAGCTGCTGCTTTGTGTGTGTGAACTATATTCCAACAGTGACCTTGGTCATGCATGTTGCATAGTTCATGTCGTATATTTGCAGTATTGTAAACAAGTTTTATTATGTATTTCAAATCATATTTCCTTCTACAGATTTTGGTACATTTTCAATATTGTTTCCTGCATGTTGCTAGTTTAAATTTCTTTCTTATATCCGATTAGGTCCATTTGTTATGCGATCAACATGTCGATATTGCCAAGGAACTAGAATGTACATCAAATTTCCATGTTCTGAGTGTGAGGGGAAAGGCAGTAGTGTGCAGCGCAAGAAGATCACTGTTCCAGTGCCTGCAGGTGAGAATGTTGTGGGCATTGATACACTGAATAATAATTTTGAGTTTTATTTTTTCTGTCATTATTAGTTGGGTGGTTGTCCATTGGTATCCGTTGCTGCCATGTTTGTCTTAAGGTGGCGACTGACTTGTAACATTTACTCGTAATGTAACATTCGCGGCGAGCATGTTACATTACACCACAACTGGTGTGGCATATCGAATGCTCGTTTTGAACACTCGGCTCGACTGTGCTCGTGTGTGCTCCATTCATTTCATTCACTATGTCGGACGTGGAGGTTGTGTTATCTTTTTTTCATTTAATACGCTACTGTTATCTAAAGAACTCGTGAATGCTCGTTACGACGCCGCTCGACTGACTGACTGACTGACTTGTAATGTAACACTCTAAGGGATTCGCGGAAAAAACCGACAACACGATGGAGCGCCCGCGAGCGTGAGCGGCTCCGTTCGCTGTCTTTACTTGTGTAATGCTCGATTTGTAACACGTTACATTACAGGCAAATGTTACAAGTCAGTCGCCACCTTTACAGATTGTGCCTTTTGCCAGTCTGTAGGAAATTGGCGAGCTGGTGTGCCATTCAGTCAGGGCAGTTATACCCATAAAGAACTTATGCCACTGATTCTCACATATAAGCACAAAATGCATATTTTGCCATGAGGGTACTGAATGGGTTGTGACAGTAGTCTTGTCTGTCGTTTTGACTGGTGACCATCCATCACAATAATATATGAGTGTTGGCCATCACACCTTTATTTTCATTGATCAGATGTTATCAGTCTTCTTGTGTTACAGGTGTGGAAGATGGTCAGACTGTTCGTATGCCTGTTGGAAGGAAGGAAATATTTATCACATTCAGGGTAGAGAAGTCTGATTACTTCCGTCGTGATGGAGCTGATATTCATACTGATGCTAACATCTCAGTATCACAAGCTATTTTAGGTGGAACAATTCGAATCAGGGGAATCTATGAAGATCAGACTGTACAGGTATAATTGCAAAATTACATATCTCATGTGGAGAGAGTCATTAGCTATGTTAATGAAAATTCACTTCTTGCAGCCCTAATCCTATCATGTGTTTCAGGAGGTCAATCCAACAGGTGGGAGATCTGCCTCTTGGTCAACCTCTGTTCATTTTCCCTTCAATTACAAGTTTCTCCATAGCATTTCTTTGTCCCTTTATGTGTCCAAAGCATTTTAAGTAGGACCCTCTGATTCTGGAAGAAAGATGTGTTTGAATGTTAAGTTCTTCAATTACAGAGTTATTTGTGCAGTGTTGTGTCCGGCGTATTCTTAATATTCTTCAGTACACCCACATTTCAAAAGCAATTGTTCTTCATTTATCATTATTTTTTATTGTCCACATTTCTGCTGTGTAAGTTGCAATTGGGAAGATAAATGTAGAAGTCAGTCTGAGTTTAGTGTTCATTGATATGGAAATATATTTTCAAATTTTTGTTAGTTTTATAGTTGATGGTCTTGCTATGGCTAACCTGTGTTTTATCTTGTCCTTACTACCAGAATTTGTTATTAGTTTTCCCAAATAGATTAAACTTTGGACCAACTCAAACCCTGTGATGCTGCGCATGTGGGGTAAGTTGTTATTTGTTCTAGATATTATCATGACCTTTATTTTGTTCCTGTTGAGTTCCAGGCCATAAATTTTACTTATTGTTGTTAACATATCCGTGATGGCTTCTAATTCATTCTGGTCAGACGCAGTTAACGTGGTATTATCAGCGTACCTTACGTTATTTAATTTCATGCCACCTATGGATATACCACCTGTCCGTTCATCCTTTACTTCTCGGAACACATATTCACTATATATGTTAAACAGCATTGGAGATATAATACGTCCCTGTCTTATTCCAATTTCAGTTTTAGAATGTCCAAGAGTGTTTTGTTGATCTTCATTCTAGTTGTATTGTTCTCATACAATTTTTAGTTTAGTTTAATGAGGTAGTGTGGTGTGCCCATTTCTTCAAGTATCTGCCATAGCCCATCCCATTTTACCTTGTCAAAGGCTTTAGTGTAATCCACAAAGCAGAAGTAAGCAAGCCTTGATGTTAAATTATCTGGCCTTTTCAATAACTTGTTAAGCATTCAGTATTTGTTCCTTTTCCTGGCTCATCTGATATCTTGGGTAAAAGAAAAGTTTTTATTCTCTCATTTATAATAGTAAAGTTTTGCTAGCATGTGATATTAATGATATTGTCCAAGAGTTTGTGCAGTCTCTTGGTGATTCTTTTTTGTGTAGAGGGACAAATATTGATTTGCACCATTCAGACTGCCTCTTTTCAGTCTCTGAGATCTTTCGACACAATAAATGTATGATGTAAATGAGGCAAGCAGCTGGGTTTTTGGTGATGTTTTATGTTAAAACTATTTATTATAAATTATGAAGTGTAAATACAAACATTCTAATGCTTACTGTGTTGATTGTTTTTGACACACGAAACACATTTTTCAACAAAACTTGCATAAATGTAATGTATTGTTTTACAACGATGTACACTGACAGCTGACAAGGGATGCTAGAGCTGTTAGCATAGAGTTGGGCAGGGGACTTCACCATAAAAGACTGATGTCATACAGATGTGTTATGCAGGATGTTGGGCTAGGATGGATTATTTGGAACCAGCAGAAAATGGACATGAAATTTGGAGTCTGGAATGTCAGGAGTTTGTGTGCTTTATGTTTTTTCAAAACTGTTAAAGAGAATTTGCAAAGTATAAGTTGCAATGGAGGAGGTCAGATGGGAAGGGGTGGCACTGAACTGGAACAAATTGTCCATTTTACTATGAAAATGGAAATGCTGCCTTTTGTACACAAGGGAATCATACTAGTAATCACTAGTGCCTGAGCCTATTTCTTTTGAGGTTGAGATTAAAGAGTTATAAAGAAAGGTTGAAAGCTTAACAAATTGAAGATGCTGAAGATCTTTTTCAATGTAAGCCTTAATACATTTTGATTTCTATGAGTGTGAAACTTGGTCTTTCATACTGCAATTTTGAGGGTGTAGAGCTCCATAATTTGCACTCTTCACCAAATGTTATGTTTATATCAAGGAGGAATGATTGTAAATGTGTATAAAATTTTAATTGGAAAACCAGAGGGAAGAGAGTACTCCAGGAGACCAAGGAATAGATAAGACGATAATGCTAGACTGTATTGGGAGGGTGTGGACTGGATTGATGTAGCACGGGATACGGACCTGTGGTGGGCCCTTGTGAACATAGAAATTAACCTTATTGTTCCATGAAATGTAGAGAACTTTCTCAGTAGCTAAACAACCATCCTTAGGACTCTGTTCCATAGAATTCAGTTATTTACAATTAGGGTTACGTCTGTCAGTTACGACTCTGAATTTTGCAAGCTAACCTTAACAGATTTCTGTCTTCCGGATGGTCATTTTGTCAGCTTAGTATAACAGCAGAGATATTGGCACCTGTTGGTATTTGAAAAATTTTATTTTAATTTTACAATATAGATGCCACTGATGCAGATGCACTGTTTATATTGGAAGTGTTGAACAAAGTTCATTGCATTCCCTCATTACGAAGATAGGTGCTAATTGCCTGCATATCAGTCTTTGACCCTCTTGTTGTAGATTGCACCTGGAACCTCATCACACACTCGAATAAGACTCAGCGGGAAAGGGATGAAGAATGTTAACTCATATGGCTATGGCGACCATTATGTGAATCTCAAAATTTCTGTACCTAAAACACTGAATGAAAAACAGCAGGCATTGGTCCAAACTTATGCAGAATTGGAAGAAGACACACCTGGAATTATTCAAGGCTTTACGTACAAGAAAGATGGTGAGTGCATAACATTTGATCAGTTTTGTTTATTGCTAATTTTAATGATATACCTTTATTTATGACATTTTCTCATCCTCATTTGTTATATACCACTGAGTGGGAGGATGAATTAGGAAGGGAATTGGCCATAGTACAGTTTAAGTTGCTGTTTAAACATTTGCTTGGTAAAGCTGAGGAAACCACAGATAAACTTTAGTCAGAATAGCCGACCTGTCATATTTAAGGAAATAAGACTTTAGTGATGTAGTGCTGTGAATTGGATTGATCTGACTACAAATTACCTATGACCCTTCATGTTTTTAAAAGCAAGCAGTTTTTGTTTCCAAATATTTGCTTAGAGCAGTGGTATTCAACCTTTCTTGTTCGCATACCCCCAGATATAATTTCTCTTCAACTTTGTACCCCCAAAGTTGTTGGTGTATAATTCAAGTTATACATAGTATATAATCTCCCAAATCGAATGTCCTTACGTCTGGTTCTCCTGTGGCTAACCCTAAATCTGACCCTGATTATTCAGTTTTTATCATAAAATAATATATATTTTTTAAATTTCACGTACCCCCTAAGATGTCTTCGCGTACCCCCGGGGGTACGTGTACCTCAGGTTGAATACCACTAGCTTAGAGTATACTGCTGGAAGAAGAATATGTGTGTGAAACACGTGATCTGTGCAGGACTTGGGGGACTGAGGTCTGTTGGGTTGTGACATCATATAGTTCTGCAGGTGTTTACCAAAGTTTCAGAAGAAAATATTGCCACCATCTTCAAGGTTGTAGTGAGACAAGAATGGGGATGTGTCGGGTGTATAAGGCGAGAGGTGAACAGTGGGAATGGGGGGAAAAGATAGACAACAGAGGGTTCCTAACTCTGTCGTGGCCTCCACTCATGTCTGACACAGTAGGCCAGTTTCAAAATAATATGGTTGGTATATAGTATCTTTCGCTGATAGAATATGGTAGTCACTTATGAGTCCAACATTGTCATATGCCACCAAGTAATGAGCACTTGATGAAAATAATTGAAAAAGTCATTTAATCAGTAGCACTCTTATTACTTACTGTTAATATTTCAGATAAAATTCTGACCTGCTGCTGGTGTAAATTCCACATTATGACTACACTAACACGCTACTTCATTTGTCTGGGAGCTATTTGTTGAGTGTGCATCAGGCCAACCACATAATTCTATCCAACCATGAAGTCAAATTTAAACTAACACGAAGTAGAGATTTTGGGAAAGTAATAGCTAGTCAAGAAATTCCTCGTTTTTTACGAAACCTAAAGGTTCATTATCATATTCACAAATGCCTATCATTGGCCCTTATCCTGAGCCAGATGAATCCAACACACACTCCCACTCTGTTTCCGTAAGATCTGTTTTAATAGCATCCTCCCAGTATCATTAGACTGACAAGCAGTCTACATGATTCTTGATTATAGTTTCAGTGCTTATCAGGAATCCTCATGTTTCAACCTTAGTTGGTTATCTTCAGGTGGTTCAATTTAGGTTTTCAAAACTAATGACTGCTAATTTGTATACATATTTTCTGTTGTTGACTTCACCATGTGATGGACTGTGTCTTAAGTAGCGTACCTATTTTAGTAGAGTGGACTGTGTAGATGCAGTTGCTGGTGGAAAACTGTAGTTGAACTAAAGTGGTTTGTTGAGGGGGGCCGATCCCTCGTCCAAGGAGTCCTACCGAATGTTCATAGATCAAGCCAACTAAAAAGTTGAGGACCCATAAATGGTACCGGAAAATGTAGAAAACATTGTTAAACCAGAAAAAGAAGAATATATATATATATAGTGTTGGACATTCTGACAATATTGTTTCCTATGTTTTTGTAGAGGTTTGTGATTGTTTTTGATCTGCTGTCCCAAGTAAATAAATGTGGCCAGTTTCTTAGGTCTGTCTGGGGTTGAAAGATTTTGGTTGTATTAAGTTTGAGGAAGTATTGTGTGTAGTGTTGGGGAGGATATCCATTGTTGTTAAGAATGGTTTTGATTCTTTCCATTTCCATGTTTTGTTATTTATGAACAATGGGTATGTATGTATACGCCATGTTTAACATACAGTTTATGGCTGCTGTTTTATGATCTTGAGGGTGGCATTAGGTAGGGAGGATGATAATCTCGGTTGTGGTTGGTTTTCTTAAGATGTATTCAAGTGTGTGGTTGTTCTTGATGGTTAGATTAGAAAATTCATGGTGTTATGTTCTTTTTCCATCGCAAACTTAAGTCAGGGATGGATAGAGTTCATTACTTACAGCATATGTTCAGTATTGGTAATGTTTTTGTTGTATATGCTTAGAATGTCATATACATATCTGAAATTTCCAGTGATGTGAAATTGTTGTAGAATTTTAACCATATTGTGTTTATGTATTGTAAGAAAATTTCTGGTGAGAAATTGGAAGTTGGGACACCCGTACCTAGGCCATTCGTTTGTTCAAAATAACGCTTGTTGAATTGAAGTAGTTTTGGAAAAGGACTGTTCTAATTAGGTTTGTTCTCTTGAGTTCTCTTCTAGTAAGTAAATGTTTTGGTGTAGTGAATAGATTATTATTTCCATAAAATGTTTGATTGGAATATTAGTATACTGTTGGTGACATCATACAAATATAAACCTGTGTTGTCATGATTGTACATATTGTTAATACAGCTAATCTCCCAATGTTTCATTCTCAAAATTAGGATGCATGTAATACACAAAATATATATTTAACCTTTGAGTTGTGGAATTTGAATGTGGTCATATGGTGTCAGTTTGCATTTCAGGTATATGGGAAGAACAGTTTTGTGTTTGGAATTGAGTTGCTGTACTTTTCTCTCAACTCTAGTTGCAGGATCTTTGGACAAAGGTTCATAAACTTCAGATTCAGGCAACATTTTCAACTTGTCCTTGCACTCGGATTTATCCAACACCACCATGTCTTGACATTCATATATGCCTTCTCATAATTTTTATTGTTATTCTTATTATCTTCTTCTGACATTACCGTGTAGTTGTTCTGATCTAGGTTGGCCAGTGATTGAGATTAGCTCGTCATAAGAGACTCAACAAAGTAGGTGCCTCTTTCATTATGTATGTAGATGAAGACATCCATTCCACAAAACATTATGTATTTTATAACATCAGAGGATGGACAAGATCCTAAAACCCAACAATTGGATCATATTATACTATTGTCAGAACCCTTCAGAATTGATCTGCATGTCAAGTATTTCTTGCTTTTCTATTGTCTCCAATTTTTACTTTGTTTAATAGGTACGAATACTATAACTTGTTAGAAATGTTCTTAATTATCACTACAAAGGATCACTGCACTTGCACAAACTAAGCCTTCACCTTTGTTTCTGTGAGTGGCAGAAAAGAATATTAGGCGTATGGACAGATGTCAGTATGTAATATATAAAACTGAAATACATCTTAGAAATATAGAATTGGATAACAGCACGCAAATATAATGGTAGTAGTAAGAAAATCGAACAGTTTCTATGTTACAAATACTTTCATGTTGGCACGTTACTTTATGGGCTCACAGGTTTTGAGATATTTTGCCTTTTTTTGGGTGTTTATCTTCCCGTAAATTGTTGGATAATGTTTGTTTTTGCACATTTTTGTCTTTGTTTCCAAATTATAATAAATCTTATGCTTGAATGAAAATAAAAGTAAAATAACTTCATCTTGTTGTGGGTAAATACAGTATCACTCTTTGACAAGTAAAAATTTGGAGTAAAATGTTTTATTTCCTTCCTGCTCACTGTGTGAGCTGCTTGGCAGGTAAATCATCATAATTTATTGGTACTACTCCAAACATAGCGACCCTCAAAAAGCAGTTTTCTTTTACTATTTCCTTTTGTTTGTGCAGGGACCAACCGACAAGGCCCGATGGCCGGGTCCCAAGAAGCTCAGGCTGAACAAAACAACAATGGAGGATTGCTTGGCAAGATTAAGAAAGCCTTTTCTAGGGGGTTAGAATCATTACAGTATGAACTTAAAAATGTTTTTAAATAAGAGTTTTTACTCTTCATGATCAAAATAATGTGCAATTCAGAACTCTGTACACCTTCATGTAATTCATGCTTTTCCTGGTTTTATACATGAGAATGTTCAGAATTTACTTTATTATCATTGAGATTTTAGGTTCTCACACAGTGAGTATGAAGGTGACTATCTTCCTTGTGAAGTTGTGCATGTAGTCTGGAAGAAGTTTGCAGATGTTTGCCGCCTATCCATCATCAGGGTTATGAGTAGGCCATGTGCGAGGAATTGGATTGAGGTATGGGAACTGGTAGGACAAGGTAGAGTCTGGGCTGAACCTTTGAGGAAGATGTTAAGGAATGGATAAGAGCAAGGGAGTTGGAGAATTGTGACCCACAGCCTGCGCAAAAGGGGAAAGAGAAATATGGGTCATCAAACAGGAGATGAGGATAAAATAAGTAAAGATGAAGGGGGTTATGAAGGATGAAAACAATGAAGTAAGAATATAGGATAAATTATAAGAGAAATAAGGATACAGGGGAGAAGACTGAAGGAAATGTGGACTAAATAACATAAGAGATGGGAGAGAGGAAAGATGGAACTATCCAGGATTGTGTTAGTGTCCTGAGAAGGCATGTCCAGGCCCAGTAGGCAGATCAAGACAAGTACTGCTTCCTTTGTCCTTTGAGGGAATGGATGTCTTGGGGTTATATACAGTGGCCCAGGCTAATGCTGTGTTTTACCATGGCTGATTTGTCAGGGTGCTCCAGATGTATGTGACAGTGTTGCTGCTTGATCCTGGTCTCGATCGAATATCTGGTCTGTCCAATATAAATCTCATCACACTCGCAGAAAATGCTGGAGTCTTGAGTTGCAAGTCATCTTTTGCAGGCAGAAGGGAACTGGGAATCTTCCAAGATCCACAGACTTGATGTTTTACTTGGGCAGCAGCCTGCTGATGTAGATGTATGTCGTGCTGTCAGAGTGCTGGAAGGTGACTGAGATAGGTTTATCCAGGGGTGAAGTAATTCTCTGTGGTGGATTGAGAGCCCATTGTATCTGCCAGTCTCTACACTTCATCATGTACACTTTCCTGGTCACAAAGAGATCTGGCCCTGAACACCGGCATTGAAAGTCCTAGTGTTCCAGTGAACTATCAGGTTTGCTGTAGATGTCAGCATCATGGAAGGAAAGTTGACCCTTTGAACTAGATGTTTTCATGGATATTGGTCAGGTGGTCAAGGAGGTCAGACAGCTTACCCCTGTGTCCTTCTTTTCCTAAACATTTTTTCCATCCTTTGACCTCCACCCCTCATTTTTTGCTTTGTCCTTGCATTTGGCGATCTCCCTTCCTCTTGACCCCCCACTGGGCCCTGATAAGGACCAATTTTGTTTCATCTTCCCCCCTATTGGCAAAGGTTCTACCCACCAGCCAAGTCTTCACATGCAGCTTACTTATTGCCCTGATGATGGAGTGACGAAGCACCTCTGAAACATTGGTAAACTTCTACCAGACTACACAGAGAAACATCCTAGAAGACAGTCATCCTAATTTATTTATAAAATTTGTTTGGCTGTACATTTTTAATAAATTAATGTTACAGGTTAGGTCAAAATGTCAATATTTATTGAAATATCCATGAATGGCACACCAAATGAAAGCCCCACTTAAGATCTTTCAGTTGGTACAATAATGAGCTCTAGGAGCAAAGTTATGAGCATTTTAATTAATCAGAACAAGGGAAGTTATGGAAAACGTAAAATTTCAGAATGCTGTGTCCCTGCAATTAATGGACACTGGAAGATGAATTTTTATATATATCATTTTCTAACGAGACCTAACAAGTCTGCACAATTTTATTAGAATTAGTAATAGTTAAGAGAAACCTTTCCCTTGAAGGTGTTGACTTGACGTGGATGATGGAATGACCCAGACATTCCCATATTACTGGAAACGGAAGGGGGCCAGGAATCTTAGTAACCAGAGTCAATTTAGGCATTTGCTTGCATTCAAATAAATATCTGTGTACAACTTTGGCTTTCAGATATAAGCCACATTGAACACTGAAAACTGTCCATTGTATTGGAAAATATTGCTGTTGCCATCTTTAGGGCATTTTTTACATTAGCATTTTTGGTAGCCTTATATAGGGCATGCAGTAGATGGAGAGTTGAATTTGATGGTACTGTTTGGTGGAGTAACACATTTGAGTGAATATTTGCTTTACTGCCTGGGGGTTGGTAAGTTGGTATCTACTCTTCTGTAATGGCATTCTATTTTGGAGCTAAAGTAGATGAGAGTAGGGAGGTTATTCACATTTATTTCAGTGAAATAAACTGTATTTCGGACAGAAAAGAAAAATGTTCTTTGTGAAAGGTTTGCCTCTTAATTTCACTAGATAAATATATTTATGAAGCAACTTGTTTTAAAATACAGTTTAGTCAAGTGATACTCAAAACCATAAATAAAAAATGAAAGAATGACAAATTTTCAAATGAAGGGTCATTGTTCAATTTGATTTTCTGCTGAAAATTTTCACTGGCTTGTAAGGGAATTTGTGAATACACTTGATTAATGTAATATCCCTAGCTTCATAATAAATAAAGTTGCTATTTATCTGCATAAAATGTAGTTTTGTTTGTGATACAAGTGAGTGACAAGGCTTATCTTTATGGTCAGAATTTATCATTGTGCTTTTCATAGAAACTTTTCTAAGAATATGGAATACTCTAAAATTAAAACACATATATCTAAGCACATACCAGTGTATTTAAACTGTAATGGTGTAAGTTTCCTCCATGTTATATTCAGTCACACTCTTCGTAACTTAACTGTTGTGTTATGATTTTGACAAACCAAATTATTTTTTGTTATCAAGGGGAAGTTGTATTGTTAGTTTGCATAATTCTAAATGTTAAAAGATACTAAAATTACATCAGTCAGACAGAAAATTACTTCAAAGGAGATGTGTTGTGTGTCGTTCTTAATGTCCTACCAGTATGAGAAGCTGCTTTTATATACCTGCCTTAAAACTTGAATTTGGCTTTAGACTTAATGCTTTAGAAATTGCCTTGCAAGAAACTCACCTTGATATCTTAGTTTTTGGCATTTTTTAAATCATAATTTAGTGGGAGGATGTTGTACTGTCACAATTATCAGCAATTAATTTGATGCTGGGTTCCTTGTTTGAATTGTTGGTTTATTTATCTCATTATTGTTACAAATAATTAAGTTCTTGCTTGTGTTTCTGTTTGTAAATCACAGTCTTGATTATTTTTCACATACTCCACGTTGATATTAACCATCCTCTTTGCATTCATATTCAGTTTAACCATAGCTACTACTGCACATTTCTTCAGCATTGCTCTGTCAAAACTTGCAACCCACTTGCCAGCAAACTACTCAGTGAACAGTTAACTTATATTGAATCAAAGTTGTCCATGTTTACCATTCGAGAGCCTTAGAGTTTATTTCGCCACACTAGCTGAAGCTGATGAAAGCATCTCATTTGATTTATGCGCTGACTTGGGTAATGTAATCACATGACTGGCCAGGCTGCCGTAGTGAGTATTTGCGACAGTATTAACAATGCAGTTCAGCGGTTACGGCATTCTAAAGCAAAGCCTGAATTTTTTTTTAGTTATCCACAAATGTATGTAGATACATCTACATACTTTGATAATAGAAGTAGTCAATTTTTTAGTGTTATACTTTTTCAAAACAACCATTTATAGATGACATTATGGGTAAGAGACATTTCAGTTCTTAAGGAATAAAAACCTTGGAAGCCGAGATACATATTATGAATACTGTTGGAAAGAAACAGAGTGGAAGCAAGCAGTATTAACAGGTGCATCCATTCTCTGTTAGCTGCGGATGTAATAGCTCATACTATACATTATTCCCATTAACTGAGCAGACATAAACATGAAAATGACAATAAAATTTGGCGTAGATATAGTGAATATAATTCAGGATCAGCGAACATAATGTCATTTGGTTCAGAAGCTATTAAAGAGACAGACATGGACAGATGGACATAACAATAAGTCCTAGTCTTCTGTACAAATAGTGCCGTAGATTAACGGATTTGTACTGAGTACATGGACAGATGGACATAACAATAAGTCTGTCTTCTGTACAAATAGTGCTGTAGATTAACGGATTTGACTGCTTTCAGTGATTATGGAATAATTGACAGTCAGCAGCAGCAGTAAGCATTCGAAGAACTCTGCTGCTTGCAGTCTGTTATTGAGTAATGCCCATTATTGCTGTTATGTATAATTCTGTTGTCCCTCTTACAGGAAGTAGATTTTGCATCACTGAGCCACAAGATCTTCTTCAGCTTTTACGAGCAGCACTTGGCAACTATGGAAATCAGAACAGTACATCCTCAGAACAAAAACCTGTAGCATCCAATACAGGTGTAAAGTCAAACAAATCTACAGCTCAGAAAATTGAAGGATGTGAGAGAATAGTAAGGAAGGTGGTAGACAACTTGGAAGAAGAGAAGGAATGTGATCCACAAAAAATGTCTAAGAACCAAGGGAACATGTAAAAGCAAATGTTTCTTTGTGCATTATGTTTCTGATGCTCTTATTGCTAGTGTTATATAGCTACGTTAACTGTGATTTAATCTTTAGAACATGGGCCATTTATAATACAGGCTTGTAAAAGGAAATGAGACATGAGATGACGGAACCATTCCTTCACTTGATAGATTGAATGAAAGCAGTTGTGTTGTCTGCTTGTGAAACTGAAAATTCTTACTGAAGAATGTTTGTACCTAGCTGTTGCAGATAGTCATACAATAATATCCCGTCATCTCCTTATGTTGCTTGTATTTGTATATAATGAGTAATAAATTTGGTGTTTTCCACTTAGCCTTTGTTTCTGACCTGTTTTTCCTTATGTTTTGAGAATAAATAGACCTGTGGTGTTGCCATGTCTGTGTGTCCATTTCAATTTTTTGTATGTGCTCCTATGGTTCAACTTAACCATTCAACTTAGTCTTATTTATAACATAGTGACAGCCTAGAATTTACATTCATTTTGTTCCTTGTCCATGTTATAATGGTACTTTGTAAACTAATGAATAAAACATTGAACACTTTTCTTTGTGGAAAGTTCTCAGAAGTGTTTTGACATGACAGTCCAGTTAAAAAGGGCCAGTGGGGTGCAGGGTTGAAATATAATTCAATACTGGAAGAGTAATATTAGGTTATAAATTGTGAACTGTTTGACAGTTAGTACAATCTGTTTTGACAGAGTAAAATCTTCACAGATTATCAGACTTTAAATTATACTCACGAGACCTCATGGGAGATTAAGTTGGCATATAATCATGTTATTGGTGTTCTGGTTTGTGATGCCATGTGGACTCATTGGCAGAGATTGACATTTTCTTCAAACGTACTGTCCCCATCTTCAGTGTGTCCATATGGCATCACAATGCAGAACAAAATTTGTATTATTACTTCCAGGAGAACATCAAATCTCACTTTAAAATGTAGAGATCCTCATCTCCTTGATGGAGGCAGCAAGGACATTGGTAAACTTCTGCCAGACTGTGTGGCACTACAACTCAGAAGACAAATTATAACATGTTTTTGCATTTTTAATCTCATGAATGCATTCTCCCATACTGCAATTGTGAAATAATCAGTTTAGCAAACAGTTTACATTGCTTTTCTAATTTGTTATTATTTGAAATATTGGTAATAGATGGATTTAGAGTGCCAGCATAGGTTAAAAGTCATGTAACTATTCTGGTAATAAAATTAATTTCAACCCCCCCCCCTTAATGTTGTTGACAGCTTGTAACAAAAATAGAAATGGTCAAGGTTCTGATAGGTGACCCAGAACATTCCAGTACGGGAACTTTATATTGGTATACATGACATATCTATCCTTTTTTTTTCTAAGTAATTTTAATGTGGCTTTTCCACCTTCTGATTTTGAGAAATGTATATGCAAGAGAACGGGTTTGCACATACTTTTGCTCTGATGATGGATTAAACTCCTCTCCAATACCAGTGTTTAAAAATTATTTGTATCTGAATCTGGTTGGGGTATGTGAAAGAAATTACATGTAGGTTGAATAGTAAACTATCTTACTGACTGAACACGCTGTAGTCACCGCGTAACCGATCTGAATTTAGTCTGTGACAATGGAATCAGCCATTTGTATTTTAATAATCCGTGAGGGTTTATCTATGTCCGTGAGCACCTGAACTCATATCTAGATTGTTACGGATGGTTAGCATATGGTTACGGTTTTCAAGTCGTGTGTAATTACAGGTGCATGGAATATTTGAATAAGTAATGGCGTAAGTGTCCCCGCAAACTCTTAGTTACAATGAATACATCACTCTTGTGTAAAACTTGTCATTGTAACATACTTTTCTGATGTTATATGCTGTTTCAGATCCAAAGTGACATTCAAGATCACTCTCACATCCGATCCTAAACTTCCCTTCAAAGTGTGAGTATAATTATTGAATATCTGGATTACCTCTTTACATTGCTTAGTAGAAAATTATAAATAATTTATGTTATTCTAATATCTTCCCCTTAAATAATATATTGCTGTTTGGGCTACTGGATTATATATCGACGCCGTGTGGTCTGAGCTACTGACAGTGCCATTAGATAAACCACAAATAAATAGGTTAGATTGTGTATTATAATACACAATCTAACTGTCTCCAAATTATATGCCTCAAGGTCATAGCAACATCGTACAACGTTGCAGCACGAACAGCTGATACCAGGGGAGTGAAGACAGCTCAGAACTCAATGTAAAAATACATCTCGGTACTGTTAACTTAGAACCTTCAAGTAAGGGGTAAAGTCCTGGGGTATTGAAGCATGCAGTTTTTAAGAGAGAATCAACTTTATGAAGCCCTTGCATTAATAAATACCAAAGAAAGGTTTTAAATTCCAAATCACATGGCAAAGAAGCAACAAATAGTAAATAAACTATTTATTTTAAAAAAATTGATTTATTTTGTCATTGCTTTATTGCACACAATAAAAAGAAAATACAGCCTGTAACTAAAGAATATTCTTTTTTTCCACTTGCTCTATTGTTCTTATAATAAATATTTTATTGGTATTAATTAGGCATAATTATATACTTATCAAATCTAAAACTTCTTGACGATGGTGAAGAGTCATTTGAATAAAAATTTCCTTAGATATTATCCATCATCTAGTAATTAGTAATTATATACTTCATCGTTGTTGTTGGCAGTGATGGTGAAGAGTGTTGTTGGACATTAAACATCAAAATATGCCTGATTAGTATAAAGTCATGTATAATAGAAAGAAAAGAATGTATTCTCATAATTTTGGTTACTGAAGTCAGCACAGCAGTATGTCTAAATTTATATTGTGGTACCTGTTTTGAAACTTATTTGCATTGTAGATTTGGTGCAGCATTGTCTTCATGGCTCAATTGAAAATTTATGTAGCATTTGTACATAATATTAAACTTGGACTTTTTTTGTTCATCCCAGAAAATTCGGTGTTGTGCAGTTAATGATAATAAGTGAATTTTGTATTTATTTACAAAGGAAGTAAAAGTTATTAATTAACTGATAGGCTGTTTTTCAATTTTTCTTGGCAGATTCTCAGACAAATTATAACAGTGCTCAGTACATAATGCAGAGTAACTCTATTAAAATGCACAAGATGAAACAGGTTCTTGATTGCTTCTGTTTATTCCTCAATAAGTATGAGCATTGTGAGTGGATGAAAGGAGCAACCAAAAGTGAGATACATAACGGATTTCAGTGCGCACAAGATGTTGAAAAAATATGTTCTGTGTTGGAGACTAAAGGTTGTGTAACAGCATTTGAAATTAAACTCAGTGAATGGCATAAACTTAAATATGGCCTCGTAGTGCATTACAAACTACAGGAGTTTGCAGCTGCTTGTGATATGATTCTGTCCAACTTTTATATGAATTCTGATATCACAGATGAAGTTTTAATGTGTGCTACTAGTGAATACTTAGAAATCTGTGGAAGGAATAGGTTTCACTTATTAAAGGAGAAGTTGATATTTAAAGCACATACACATGATGCAGTTAAAAATGTTATTGATGAACTGAGTACAATGGTTTTAGAACAGAAGGATGTTTTTAAGTCTACGCTAAGTTGTGAACTGTTGAGGTCAGTTTGGACAAAGTACATACGATGCAAGGAGGCATCAAATATTTCAAACTGCATCCATACAACCTCTAATGACAGCAGGTTTATAGAATCTGTGTTAAGAATATTGATAAAGGAAGATTGCAGTGAGGAAGGCAAGACTATGAAGAAAATAATAACAGAATCACTTTTATTGAAAATGAGCACAATGAATTATCAAGATCCTGTATTTTGGCACATCATTATTGTGACCAATAGACATTTGATTGTTACAGTCTGTGACTTAAACCCTGAGATATGTTCAGTTTTGGTAAAATTTATTGTTCATGTTGGAAAGTGTATGGACATTGAGTTTACAGAGATGAATTATATTTGGAAACCTAAAGAAAATGCTAAACTGATGGTAGATGTTACATTTGATGATTTTGTCAGTCTTGTGAGGCGCTTTTTGGAATCTCGAGGTGTAGCTGGAGATCATATGAGACGCACATTGCAGGATTTAAAGTCTCAACCAGATTGTAGTATATGGGTGGAAGTGGAAAGACAGTGTGAATTGCCAGTCTTGGCAAAACTTGTGACAGCAAATGTAAGAAATGATTCCAGTCTGATGAACTAATTTCATGCAGGTTGAGCGTTCCAGAAAATACACCGTTCACTGCAGTGCTCAAATATGCTGCTGAAGAATTCAAAGTCCCACCAGCAACTTCAGCAGTGATCACTGATGACGGGATCGGGATAAATCCCCAACAGACTGCAGGTATTTGATCTTTTCATAAGAATACATTTAGCCAGATATTTGTGTTGTTGAGCATGTAAAAGGAAAGTGTGGATTGTGATCTTCCGGACTTTGACACTGTATAGTGTTTTGGAAGAATACGTCACCATGTTCGTAGCATACCTATGAAATTTCATGGCATCACAGCTGAAGATGAGTATCCAAATTTCCACCACTGTGAAAACCCCAGATCTTATTCTTTGTCAGTGCTTCTCAAGAGCTTCCCTGTCGAACATGGAAGTACTGTTAAAATCAATGTGATGGCCTCTATCGTTACAATGCTCCGCTACCGCAGACTTACCGGGGCTGTTCGAGACGTGTATTTCATATGTTTCAAGTGTCTGGTCTCGATTGCAGACGTAAGTTGTCCTTGACAGGCCAGAGCATCTGTTTATTTTTCTTATGTGAAATATGAACAGTCTTGATGTTATATTTAGCGACAAGCCTACTAATTTTGATGGTAGTGACTTTTGATATGGTATGATAGCTGTGCTGGTAGCCTCTTTGTCCCTTAATTTTGGATGTAGAGCTCACCTGATATGATTTTAGTTATATCTGTTCTGCTGAAAAATGCATTTAATTCTCCCCCAAGACTGTCTGTTTCACAAAGTGTTCTGGCATGTTGGATTAGTGTAGTCAGTGCAGCCTGTTTTTGTGCTGGATGGTGTTCGGATTTGGCATGGCGGTATATGTCTGTATGTGTGGATTTCCTATATATCGAATGTCCAAGTGATCCAAGAAAACTTTACCACACTCTCCACAGAAGTCACTGAGAAAACTTTTCTCTTCAGAGTGGATTATCATACAGAAATGTACATAAGGCTACAAATCGAACATGTGTCAGGAATGGGTTGTATAACTTTTCGGTCGGTTTGTATCACAGGCTACGGTATATCAACTAGAAATCAAGAACTTAGGCCACTTGTTGAACCATCCTCAGTAACAGTCTAATGTAGCATAAAGGTGGTTATTATTAAACAGATAATTACAATTCTGTCTTTACTGATTTTTTAAAATTAAACTTCTGTTTTCTGTGAAATATAAAATTAGATATGCCCTGAAAACATTACAGATTAATTGCTTCATTGTTTTTGTAGTTTGTATGAAAGCATAATAATGAACTCTATGTACCTTTTTATGCTGGTACTTTAAATTATTTTATAAATTACAGTGTTCTCTTAAAAGGTTTTCAGATTTCTGACAAAGTATTTGACTGTCATGTGAATAAAGAGGTATTTATTCCAACCTCAAGTGTAAATAAAGATAGTCATATTATAATCTGCTTACCTGTTATGGCGGACATAATTATTGTGTTCCTTTTCTTCAAAGGTAATGTTTTCTTGAAGCACGGTTCTGAACTTCGGTTAATTCCCAGAGATCGAGTGGGCACAAGATGGAACCTCACTGCACACCTGCCCAGTTGGTCATAGCAGTACATTTGAAATCTGGTTTATGTATCAGTTCAATACAACAAGAAAAACTTTTGTATACTGTTCTAAAATTCATTGTGTATTTATTTTATTTTAGCTATATAAATTTATGACAATGTTCTCAGAGCATTAAAGTTACTTTCTGTAATTAAAACTTACTGGGACATTTTAGAATACAGAACTATATCTGAAGACTTAAAATTCTATGTGTAAGTGCATGGAAACCTTTAATGAAGAAATTTGAATGCTGTCTCACCAGCAGGTACCTCTTCGAGGTATGTTCCTGCCTGGTCCAGGAGCTTATTAATTTTCTTGATTACATTAAATTAATGCAGCCATAAGGCCTCTTTGTATAAGCCATGCAGCAGTAAATATCTCTGTATTGTCAGTGAGTGAGCATGATTGTTACTGTAGCTTATCCAAAGTTAAGAAATGGTTATTGCGCTTATGGCAGTAGTGTTGTAACATGATAGTTCCTTTAGCGTGAGTCCAGCCAAGTGCTGGATGAGCTTCTAACTGGTTAAGCCCATAACTTTGGACTAGTGTGATAATGTGGGACTTCATTGGGGCTGGAATGACGAAAATCAGGGGAAAACTGATTATCTCACAGTAATGCTTCTTAATTATCATTTCATCCACCATTAATCTCACTTGAAGTCGTCCAAGACTGAACCCAGATCTTGGCAGTCAAGAGGCCAAAATCTAGCCACCTGAGCTATGACGTGGTCAGTGTTGTAACATATAGCAAGATAATGCAGGAACCCAGGTACATGACTGCAACTTGACTCTGCGAGACGTGAATGTTTATAAAGTCGCCTTGTTGGTAAGTTCATATGGCATTCAAGAAAAGTATTTCGTCACATTTTTATGAAAAACTTTTCTCTCTCCCCCCCACCCCACCCATCATGTTCAAAGTGTTAGAGATATTTAAAAGCTGAACTCAGTACTTAAATTCATTTGTTGAGTTTCACCACAGAAGCAAATCAGAAAGCTAATTTTGCAGTTGCATTCAACATGCTTGAATACACACAATATATCATTGACACACAGAAACCTTCAACTAAATTGTATTTCGTGTTTACTCATGTTCTGTTTGCTCCCAGTAGTTTGCCTTTTCTGTTCCTGCACGCTCGTATGGTTTTATGTTTGAAACATTCCTGATTTGGCCTTGCATAGTTTCAAAATCTTGATACTGTATTTGTATGATTTCTCTTTCTCATAGACACAAAAGAGTACATGCCCATGAAAAGCACATATTGCCTCGTCAGTCGTGAGGTATTCTTCTGTCATACATACCTCTTGACATTTTTTTGTCAAAATTTGCAAAATGGCCTGATGTGTAATGGTGTGGTTAACCATTTTGCATTTGTTTTTCATTGTCATTCTGATGCAACAAATTCAAAATAGCCCATAATCTGCCCAGAGGCATTCCATTGACTGTACGTAATTAGTTTCCAGAATCTGTTGTGTGCACCAGTAATTTCTTGTGTTATGACCACAAACAATTTTATGCCTTGTGTAAGTGGTTGTATGCTGATTATGGTTTTAGAGGGCCTTCTATTTTTCTTCTTGTTCATCTGCTGTTGTGCATACCTTTCAGTTTCTTAACTTAAAAACTGGCGCAAAATCCATACATTCCGGTAAATGAAGGCCTTTGTATTTTATCAGGTTTTTCCCCTTTCAAACAGCTGTGATTTTTGAGCCTGAAAATGTTTCTGACAGTACGTATTTCATATGTTGGACATGTCCATTGGCTGAGGTATATTTGATGCACACTTTTGGAATTGACTCTACTCCCTTCTTCAAGTGACTGCTTGCCATTGTTATTTTTTGTTCTCTTGTCACAGGTTTTTTTGTTCTTATTGTTTTCTGCTCTTGAACCTGTGGTGAAATCTGAGAGGTGGGCCACTCAGATTTCAAGTTTCAGATTGTAGCACTTTCCTTATTATGTGCAATGAACCTTGTATGGCTGTCTTTTGTAGATGATCTATTCATTCCTCTTCCTAAGTATTTTCCAGAAACATTAGTGGTCACTGTCCACTCTTTGGCGATGCCGTCCATGGATGGTTATAATTTTTCTCATTTTTCTATCCAGTTCTTGTGTTTATTCTTGGTGTCAGTTAATAATTATGAAGCTGCATCTTGGTGTTTGTATTACCAATTATCCACTTGCTTGCATTTTATTTTTGTGCGTACGACCACGTTCAAAATTGATCTTAGTCTCCGTTCAGCTTGTGATCTGAATGCTGTACATATTCTGAATATATATATTATTTTATTTATGTAGTGTACATTTCTGATATAATAAAAAATTGTTCTTATAGTGACTATAAAGCATAAAAGCTAAATTAAATAGTGTATGTTGGATTAAAAAATAACAATACACATTAAGAGCCCTTGTCCACAGTCCTTTTAACTGACATAAAAATTTAATTTTACATTGTACGTGATGTTAACAATACAGATCTCTGTTTACAGTGCATTGTTTAGAGAAAGCCGAAGGACTATTATACTGCACCCTACACAAAAAGTCATGGAAATACATTAATATAAGAAAGAATAATCAGTTTTCAATAGAAATGTTAAGATAATACAAAACAATGAATGCCGTATTTCACCTGACATAAAGAAATTATGTATTGCGACATTTTTACTATAAGAAAATAATGCAGCCTTGTGAATACAATATGAATGTCTGCAGGGAGTACCAAATAATGAATGTTATGTCTTACCAATTAATATGTTAACACATCAGTGGGCAGGAACCTATAAAAGTCATGGTATTCATTTAACATGTACTTGCACATAACAAGCAAATTTACTTTCTTTTAGTAAGTGATAGAAAGTGGCAGTTATAAACAATTTATGATCAGTTTTCATGCTTTATGTGTTTGCTATTGTACTGAAAATACTTTGTTTTGGTCCCTCATTATCACTGTGTGGAACCGAGCCTTTCCGCCGATTTGTAAGTGGCAAATGTATGTCTGGAGCTTTGTGTGGTAACATAACATTGTGCGACCATAATTACAGGAGAGAAGAGGGGAAATTAATGTTGTAAGGAAGTGAATTGTAATACAGGTTCATTTGCATCTCTGTGTTTAATTACTTGATCCACCCCATCTGCCTGTACTCCTGTAAAAACTCAAGAATGCCTGAACAGATTTTCAGACCTCCAACTCCTCTCGGAGATAATCTTCGGGGATGCGTTTGTGCTAGTTTTTCAACGCACTTCCACGCATTGATCCTTCATTACTGAGGTGTAAAACCTCGCATCTTTACTGTCACCAGGAGACTGTAGGACGCAGCATGAGCATACTTCACATCAACCACAATAATTGTTGCACTGCTAACGGGAATCAAAGTCTTCAGCTGACTACCAACCCTTTATGGACCAAAACTTGCATATAGAGCAACCTGCCTATGATAAGTGAGATTTGTATTGCTGTTGACAGTAGGGGGGCTAACAAACATAGACCAGAAGCCATCGACAGTGTTGTGCACACCCCAGCACTGCATTTAAGTGTAAAAGGCTTATGGACGTGACAGAATTTCAGCAATGTAGCGAAAAAATGCTTCTACTAGGCACAATTACTTGGCATGTAAATTGGCAAAATTACAATTTTCAAACAACCAATTAAACTGTACTAATCACAATCAAGTTTTGATAGCCGTTTGTTTTCAGTAGAAAATTTAAACTTCCGGTTGAAGACAAACTGTCTACGCTTTGAAAATTACTGGCAGGGTTCCTCAAAGCTTCATTCATCCACAGCATTGTACAGTATGAATATACATCGTGCCCCCAAACACCAGGTGTTTGTATAAGCCTCATTGCTAAGAAGTTTCTGTTATTAGAAAGCTGCAGAGCCTTCATTTCAATGGAGTTGTAATGACAGTCAAGGCTTATCCTACACTGAACAGATGGAACATCCCTTTTGTAAACCAAGTTAAATTTCTTGGTGTGCTCTTTGATCGAACGATAGAGGATGTGTGGGATATTGCACCACCATAAGGGAAAATTCAAGTTCCTTGCTTCATGAACTCTGTTTACACAACCTAAACGCCGAATCTCAGAGAGTAATTCACGAAGACAACACGCGGAAAATTTTGTATTAATTTCTGCCCTACGTGTGATGTTTTGACAAAATTTTGTAATAGCACATTTGGTGGAATTCCCCCCCTATACGGGGTAATTCCACTCCATACGTATGCCATGATGTTAAAAACGATGCTTTTGGTTCGCATTTATTTATTTATTCACGGTATTTTGTGTGCTACTTTTTAAGTATTTTAATATTACCACACAATACACTTAACTAACTCCATGCATCTAGTTAAGATACGTACAGAGAAAAAGAAAAATGTAACAGCTCTAATCTAATCACATGGGGAACTCAACATGTTTTCCAGGTAAAATCAGCGTCAAAATCTGCTTAATAGATCATAAATCGGGGCTGAAAGAAGACTACGCCGTCACACTGCCTACAATGAGATTATTCACCACAAACATACAGCTACAACCTTGACCACCATAACAGCTCGAGACTGTTTTTATGTTGTCACCAGGGATGCCAATGTGAACAGAGCGCGCTCAGTTCAAATCGTTTCAATGATAATTAAGGTGGCTACTTTCTTATGTAAAACTAAATACCATGGAAATATGGCATATACTAAGACATGCGACAGTGTCTCATCAGAGAACACTGTAACAACAAGAAGTATGTCAAGACAGACTAAACATTGTTCTTCAGACACAAATGGCTCGGCATTAAGACAGACATCGCTGACCACAGATCGTAACGTGATTTCGGCCTTGGAGTACTCCTCTTTTCTGCCCTTTTGATGGAGGTAAAAATAGTAATATTTTCTACAATAGGAGATCATGTGCTTTGTGTGTGGTGTCACTGGAGAGCAGTAGATTGAATTCAAAACAATGGAGATTCACTTTCCCAAAGAAAGACTCGGAAGAGAATAACTTATGCTTTCCTTCTATACCTTTCTCTGGCTTGACAATGCACTTAATGTTATGCTTTATAAACACGGGTGAATGCCCTAATTAGAAAGCAATGTGGCTCGATAATAAGTGAGGAAGGTTGCCTATTGTTAAAAAGATGTAATTCTGACAAGAAAGGATATTTCTTTAACCAAAACACAGAAGCATGGCTTTAAAAAAAGCAATTACAAAAGTTATTGTTAAAAAAACATGACATTACAGTGAACTTCAAATTCGTAAAATATACAACTACCAGATTTTACACGAGTAATGTACAGAATTATAATCATAACTGTTGTCTGGTATGGGTGTGAAATTTGGTCACTCTAAGGGGACGAACATAGATTGAGGGCGTAACGGCATGACGAAAGAAAATGACGGAATGAATGAAGATTTCTGTCTTCTGGTTTGCTGCGCCGTGTAGTCTGGTAGAAGTTCAGGGACGTTTCGAGCGCACTTACTGGCTCCATCATCAGGGCGATAAATCTAGTGATTTACATTTCAGTTGCTATCTATCTTTGTAAGGGACTTTTGGCTGTCGCTAGTAACCTTTGGAGGCGAACAGACTTTAAATTAATTTTCCAGCATGTTTTAGAAGTTTCCATACGTAACACTGTTTATAATTTATTTTCTAAATATCGTAGGACACAAAACTGTACATGCAATTAGTAGGACAAGCCGATTTTGACTGAACTTTTATTTAGTCACTAGTTAGTCTGACGTGGGTGGTCGAGACTGCACGCCCTCAGTCGGCAAATTTCGACAAACGAAGCTAAGTCCGTGCGTGCACATTGTACCATCGGGCAGCGAGACGCAGTGCTGTTTGCTGTTTGTTTGTGCTTCGGGTGTTCAGACACTGATACTTTACACAAATCAACCTTCAGAATCAAAGGCACAGATCACAGGCAAGCTTTTGTTTCACCGATCTTAATAGACGTACTGTAATCGAATTTGTGAACCTATTAACCCGACGAAGTATTTTATAACCTAAAAGGTCCAGCTATTTAGGACATAAGCTTATTAAATCTGTGTGCACCTACGACAAACTGGGCTCCACAATCATTTTAGAATGTAAATTGTTTCTGGGTGAGTTACAGGCCTACGTCTAAACTGGGTTATAATAGTTTCATAAATAGCAGGACGTTGTGTAATGAATTCTTCTCGGGCTACCAGCCATGTAAGGTGGTTTAATGGAGAAAACACCAACGTTTCGAGAACCATCTTCGTCCTCGTCTTCAGGGTAGCACATGGTACGACACGGTTGGTAGAAGAATTCGTTGTGCTTAGTCGCCGTGGAAGCTTCAGCTCATGAAGCAAGACGTTTGATTAAGTTTGGTGTTAAATTTATTAATGGGACTTCCAGTTATTGATGACTTTGTTAATTGTTTAATTATAAGTTGTTGGGTTTATGCAGAATTAAAAAGCACGTTTCTATCTTTTTTTAAATAACATACAAGTTAATACTGCCTTTTCTCCCGCAAATTTGACAAATTAAGGAGAGTGAGATGATAAATGTTCACAATATTTTTGTTGAAAAGCCAGAAAGAAAGAGACCATCCGGAAGACCTATGCGGAGATGGAAGAATAATATTAAAATGGATGTTAGGGAAATAGTGTTTGGGGGTGTGGCGAGCTTTTGTTAATAAGGCAATGAACCTTAAGGTTCCATGATATACAGTTACTGTGACTATTAGCTTCTCAAGGACTCTGCTCCTTGAAATTGGTTAGTGCAGTGTGGTAACACTGAATAATAGATTTGAATCTGTAGTATTTTAAGGACGAAGTTAATGGGATATGTCAAGTCGCAAAGAATTAACTTCAAGTATGCCTCTTCTGTACTGTCTTTCATGCACAAATCCTTGTCTCGGAGTGTTATAAGGATTTAAACAAGCCTGTTTCTTTAATTCCATTAAATAGTCTAAAGTTTAAGTTAGTATAGTAAAGAAATGCATATTCAGCTTTCTCCAGAGTAAGAGTTGGTGAACTCTCCTCCTGACCTTCAAAATGAATAGGGGGGAAAGGAGGACAAGAAAGAAAGAAAGAATTTTCTAGGTCAAGATGTGCCAGTGTTGGTTACGATGAAAACGTCTCTTCAATGAAGAAAGAGCAGCAGACGAGGGCCCTCGCTCTACCACGATGGAGGACCAGCATGCAAAGTTGTCAGTTATCTGTGACGTAAGTTCCTTTACTAATAATACAAAAGAGTCAAACACAAACAATGACGCACTGATGGATACTCGTGGCAGCAGGTTGGACTACGAATATGTGGTAAGTAGTTGATATTTAATGTATTAATCAGTGTTTCAAGTATGGAGCATTGCACGTCAAATCAACACACATAAAACAATCCAACGCGCTCAAATTTTAATTAAGTTGAATGAGATACGCTACGGACTGGATGACTGATGTTCGATCCCCGACGAGGGCAGATGATTTTTCCTGTCACCTCTCCCCCTAAGCGCCTACATGGCGTATAGTGGGACAGATTTTACAGTATTTCATAGACGTAATTTTCAGTGCTTGAAGTTATAAAATGCTATTTTATGGTGAGATTTATTTTATTATATTGTTCTCTGTCCCTAATGGAGTTAAAAATGTTCAGATTAGTCTAGTTTTAAAGGGACTTGAATAACTTTACCTATGAAGTATTACAGTTTGTGTTTAGATAATTACATTTTAAAGGATAGACACTAAGAAGAGAACATCGATTAGCAACAATGAAATATTTGTGTAAATCAGGGAGTGAAACAAGAATGCCCTATGTTTCCAACGTTATTTAATATGTTCATTGGCGAACTCATTAAACAATGGCAAAATGTTTTTTTATTAAATATTTTAAAATAGATAATAGTTTTAAACACAATTTTATTTGTAGACGATCGTGTTTAAGTAGTAGTTGTAGGTTTGAAAATATATCGGATACCTTCAATATGAGAAATTCAACTACGAAAACATAAACCATGGCATTTCAGGGGGAAAACCACGTAAGATGTAAAATAATGACTTTCAATAAAATGGTATCAAGCTTTTGGTATTTAGGTTTTAATGTATCGTACCGCCTGAAAGAAATTATAAATATTACATTTCAGGTTGGTCACAGTGGCAGCGCTGTCTAAGGCGTGGGCCTTGTTCGCTTGGACGCTAGGACCGTGGGTTCGAATCCCATTTAACTCATTGATGTCTGTATTCTGTCGTATATAAGTAAAGGTCTTATAACGGGTTTATCACTTGTCGAAGGAGTCATACAAATTGTCTAAATATATTAAGTAACCTCCCATATGTGAGGAGGCCAAGGTCATTTAAGGGTTGTAGAACCACGGGTAATGATGATGATGAAAAATTTCATAGAATTTACGGAAAGATACGAAAAACACCGAGACAAAAACGTTGCAGAGTGCGCAATTAGAATTTTGTAAAATAATATCAGTGCTGCTTGGATTAATAATGAAGTACAGACATACGTTCAGAATTATAAATATTCAGTTTAATTCAGAAAATAGAAAAGCGGAATAAGAAAATTGACATGAACACATTTTAATAATGACAACAATCTTCCAAAAGTATTACTAAAGTTGTGTTTGTCCATCTGTGGCAACTAATAAATAGGCCTTTACTTATACGTAATTTTCAACCCTGTTTCAAGTTGTAATGAGATCGGATGGCACGTGATATTAACCAAGCTGTTGAAGTGCAAAATACTTTCAGTAAGACGACATCCATTGTTATAAAAACAGAAAGGAAGAAATTATTTGCTACAAACTATGTTTGGAATAATAATTAAACTTAAATAGAACATTACAGAACTGGTAGTGATGTGTAAGATCTGTGGTTCTCTAGCGGTGAAGATGTCGATGTTGGTTGTAAGTAGGACAGGCCTTAAAAAAGTGGCGCCTTGGGGCGAACCTAACATTGGCGCCCTCCTCCAGCTAACGCGTTTTGCAACATCAGCAGTTTGCATGTTGAGCGATCATTCATTGAAGTCATTGCACAGTAATAATATTATTAAAAATGTTGTTGCTTTACGTTAACTTTCAGAAAACTACAAAACATGCGATTATGTAACAGGATGGAAGAGACAAATGATTTCGCAGTAACCACAAAGACTCCGATATTAGCTTGGAGGGGCTGGTTGAGACTGATGAAAACCACTAAATTCCCAGTGAGGGTTGTCGGTATTTTTCTGAATTCAAAATCGTCACGATTTTGAGTCGATAACCTCGATCGACAGTTCCCAGAAACGTTTTAGAAACTTTCTCTAGTGGTGCCGAATTATGTTTTTATATTATTTACTCTCAAAGAGTTAATACGAAATTTAATTAAAATCTGACTACGCCTTTGACAAATGGAGATGTTAAAAGTATACGAAAAAGTGATACAAGAATATATTCAGCCCTGAACATGGAAACGTAAAGTTTCTTCGTATATTCATTTGTATCTACTTCCAAGAAAATTTCAATTTGCAGCTTCCTATTTTGTACAGTGTTGTAGGTCAACAGATGCTTGCAAGTGTTTTGCAGACACATGATTTAAAATATGCATTAGCGCCGATGTTTGTGTGTTTAGGAAAACTGTGATCGATTTCCTTCCACCAGTGACAGACGACAGAAAGTCGCAAATGGCCCATATCGATCTACATGGAATGAGAGAGGAGTTTTCTTTTTTGCAAGTCTTGGATTTACTACAGGTAAAGAGGCTTGTTAGTGGAGTTGTTTGTTAACAGTGTGTGTTCATATTCTTATGCTGCTAAACTGAATCTCTTTAAATATATCCCTACTTCTTATTTGTTAACATTTTTATTTACATCTGCATTTTATACCGGGTCTACAATTTATGAGGCTGCGGTCGTGCTTGCATTGCGTGGTCGGCCGGCGCTCTGTTGATGTGGGCGGGAGTCGTGCGCGTTCTTCCGGTGGGTGACCGGCGAATCAGTTTCAGTGCCGCTGGTAACAGCGAACTACGAATATTTCTCGTCATTAATACATGTTATTACATTAATTGTTCTTACCTTAAATCACAAAAGATGTTCAAAGTGACTTCCTTGTGCTCGCAGGCAACTTCACACGTCGTTAATCGAAATACTCGACGAAGATCTTCTTGGGAAATTGTCGAATATTTTCTTTAAGTTCTTCTGCAGTGTGCGGATAAACTGTAAACGTTATATAAATTTAATATCGATCAGTGGCCTCCGCGTTGCCCAGACTTAAACCCGTGCGAATTTTACCTGTGGGGCATGCTGAATAAAAAAGTTTATGTAAACAATCCGCACACTGCAGAAGGGCTTAAAGAAAATATTCGACAACTGATTTCGGCAATTACCCCAGAAGAACTTCGTCGGTCACCCACCGGAAGAACGCGCACGACTCCCGCCCGCATCAACGGGTCGCCAGCCGACCACGCAATGCAAGCACGACCGCAGCCTCATAAATTGTAGACCCGGTAGTAATCCATCACAGATTTGGTGGTATGACATTACAAATTCTGTGAGAGAATGCATTAATAAATACAGTGTTAATTGTTGATGTTTCTCATCAAATCTTTAGCTGCACTGCCACTGCTTGACTCTCTGCTACTGATGTCTGAGCTCGCCATCTTCATTTCCTCCATTACTCATATTTCTCCCATCTCGCATTGGTCAGAGACCACCATAAAGTAACACGACTGTAGTCTCGTGCTTCGACTTTGTTCATTTTTAATGAAAATATTAAAATATAAAGTTATTTTCTTACCTGAAGAGACTGGGGAAGACTTTGCAGAATTAACGCATCTTGGACATTGACCACAGAATGTTTGTTGGTGATCTTTTTATGTCGCAGGTTTTCACGGTGTCTGCGTGTTCCCTGTGCTTTGTGAATTGAATGGAGGGGCAGCGTTTCTAGTCTGCACTGCGATCCTCTACCTTGTT